GTTATTGTTCAGCACTTATTCGCCATCAGAGAACACACACTGGAGAAAAACCCTACAAATGTAATGAATGTGAGAAAGCCTTTAGCAGGAGTGAAAACCTTATAAACCATCAAAGAATTCATACTGGAGATAAGCCATATAAATGTGATCAGTGTGGAAAAGGCTTCATTGAGGGTCCATCTCTTGCTCAACATCAAAGAATTCACACTGGAGAAAAACCCTATAAATGTGATGAATGTGGGAAAGCCTTTAGTCAGAGGACCCATCTTGTTCAGCATCAGAGAATTCATACTGGTGAGAAACCATATACTTGTAATGAATGTGGAAAATCCTTCAGCCAGAGAGGCCACTTTATGGAACATCAGAAGATTCATACAGGGGAAAAACCTTTTAAATGTGATGAATGTGATAAAACCTTCACCAGGAGCACTCACCTTACTCAACATCAAAAAATTCATACTGGTGAGAAAACCTATAAATGTAATGAATGTGGGAAGGCCTTCAATGGGCCCTCAACATTTATCCGTCATCATATGATTCACACTGGTGAAAAACCGTACGAGTGCAATGAATGTGGGAAAGCTTTCAGTCAGCACTCCAACCTCACTCAACACCAGAAAACTCACACTGGGGAGAAGCCTTATGATTGTGCTGAATGTGGAAAATCCTTTAGTTACTGGTCATCCCTGGCTCAACATCTGAAAATTCATACTGGAGAAAAACCTTACAAATGTAATGAATGTGGAAAGGCCTTCAGTTACTGCTCATCCCTTACTCAGCATCGCAGAATTCACACCCGGGAAAAGCCCTTTGAATGCAGTGAATGTGGGAAGGCTTTCAGTTACCTTTCAAACCTTAATCAGCATCAGAAGACACATACCCAAGAGAAAGCTTACGAGTGTAAGGAATGTGGGAAAGCCTTTATTCGGAGTTCATCTCTTGCTAAACATGAAAGAATTCATACTGGCGAGAAACCCTATCAGTGTCATGAATGTGGGAAAACCTTCAGTTATGGCTCATCCCTTATTCAGCATAGGAAAATACATACTGGAGAAAGACCTTACAAGTGTAATGAGTGTGGAAGGGCCTTCAACCAGAACATTCACCTTACACAACATAAGAGAATTCACACAGGAGCAAAGCCTTATGAGTGTGGTGAGTGCGGTAAAGCCTTTCGACACTGTTCGTCTCTTGCTCAACATCAAAAAACTCACACAGAAGAAAAGCCATACCAGTGTAATAAATGTGAAAAGGCTTTTAGCCAGAGTTCCCATCTGACTCAGCATCAAAGAATTCACACTGGAGAGAAGCCGTATAAGTGTAATGAATGCGACAAAGCCTTCAGCCGGAGCACTCATTTGACTGAGCATCAAAGCACTCACACAGGGGAGAAGCCGTACAACTGTGATGAATGCAGGAAGACATTCAGTCAGAGCACTTACCTTGTTCAGCATCAGAGAGTTCATTCAGGAGAGAAGCCTTTTGGATGTAATGACTGTGGAAAAGCCTTCAGGTATCGTTCTGCTCTCAACAAGCATCAGAGGCTGCACCCTGGCATATGACTGTTTCAGAAGCATCATGAACATAAGGGATGCATTTACTCTACTTTGTCCTTCTGCTAAGTACTGAAGAACCAGAATGACCTGAGAAACTGCTTAAATCATTTTAACTTTTCACTGTCACACTACAGAATGGGAAATGCATTGGGCTGAAGTAATCAACTATGTTAAGCAACTTTGTAACATTGGAAAATTCAGCTACCCAAATTCAGCTTCATTTTCTCTGTGAAATGAGGGATTTGGAATAGCTGATTTTAAACACTGTTTGGAGGTCTAGTCATAATATATTCTTGAATAGGATTGCTACCTATCAGATTTTGCTGTGTTGCATCTAAAATATATTTATGCATGTTTTGCTAATAGGAAGCATTTATGCTTCAGTAACTAGACTGGAGATCTATTAAGCTCCTGTTTTAATGCATTTAAATTGTTTAAGTAACCGGTTCCTAATAAAAAGAACTATGAAATACCCTCACATTAATAATTCAGTAGCATATAGTGGCTTAACTCAAGCTCAAGTATTTAAGCACAAGTACTGAACTTTCCTATTGTTTTCTTCTCTAGTATGCTTTAACATTCTAGTTGATTACAAAAATAGAGATTCTCTTCTATAGTTTAAACCAGTGTTACCTGACCCTAGCTGCATAGTGGAATCACTTCAGGAACTGTAACATTTTTTTGCTAAGCTCCACCACCACTATTAGTCTCTAAATAAGAGACTAATTTAATTGACCTAAGGGGTGGGACACAGGCATCAAAATTTTTTTAACTCCTACTTGTGTTCATCTATAAAGGGTATCCACAGAAGTAATTCTGTTAGGTATGATAGTAGTCTATGTTAGAAACATGCCATGATTTTTAGAAATGCATAATGAACTACCTAGGGATGAAATTACAGGATGTCTCAGCTTCTTTGAAAATATTTCAGCAACAAATAAACCAAAGGGAGAAAAAAGGACTAATAGGGCTAATGTGGCAAAATTTTAATAGTTGTTAAATCCTGGCAATTGGCATATGGGAGTTCATTATACTATTCTCTAATTTTACATGTTTTAAATTTGTCATTTTAATAAGAAAACATTGTTTTATCACTTATTTCTTAGTGAGTTTAAAATAGATTTGACTGTATGATTTTTTTGAGATAAAAAACCTTCAAAACAGTTATTAAAAATGTATTTAAAAGTTCCAGAGAAAAATTAAGTCATTAATTTTCTGACTGCAAGAGGCAACTACTGTTCATCTGACTCATAAATGGGTTTATGAGACAGCAACAAGTAACATATGTTTAAACATTTATCATTGGGTAACTCAGTTCATGTCTGCAGGAAAAATTTGGTTAACCCATTTCAGCCCAGGGAGCCAGGGTTGATGGGACCTACAGCCCAGGGAGGATGTCTCTGCCCTGCAGGCAGCTTCACAGTCCCAGAGAGCAAAGTCTTGCCTGGTACACAGCTTCATAGTTTAAATTACCAAAAAAATGCAAGTGTTGGGCCAATATATTAAAGTTATTGTTCAGACCTCAAAAGGTATGGTCTTGGTGTCTTGATGGCCCTCCAGCCCCTTTTCTTAAATTTTACCAACCTCTGATGGCCCTGTCTTTCCATTTCCTCTCACAGGCAAATTGTGAAAGACAGTATGTGTTGAGAGTAAAGGCTAAAGGTGGTAAGAAAAAAAGAGATGGCTGTGGCTGACCTGTGTGGCTCAGTTGGGGCATCTCCCATCCACTGCAAAGCGAAAACACCCTGGTTTGATTTTTCATCAGGGCGCTGCCTGCGTTTCGGGCTTGGTCCCTGGTCAGGTGTGTCGAGGAGGCAATGATGTTTTGATCCTTCTCTCCCTCCTTTCCGTCTAAAAATAAATAAAATATTGCACGAAGATACGGTTTTGATGGAGTATAAAAAATTTATCACCAGCTGCCCCTCCACTTCCCAGAACTCATAAAATCCCATCAACTAGAAATTAGGGCAAAGCCTCAGCAACTTCAAAAATCTGTGTTTACACTGTTTCAGACACCTGGGGTTCATACCCATCTATTTGTTTTGTTTTTAACTTGTTAAAATTTTAAAAATACAACATGCTCTAACTGGTTTGTAAGAAAAACAAATTTCATACCAGGAGGGAAAGAAAATCACTAGCAGAATTTCAACACAAATCATTGCCTAAAGCTGGGATTTTTTAAATGAGTATAATGATGAGTAAGCATAGCCACCAAGGCACTTACTTTCTCATTAAAACCAACTATTAAACTGGTTAGATCTTCAAACTGCTGTATCAAAAAGCATTAAACGAACGTTAAAAACGGTGAGCGCACAGTCAGGTGCTGTGTACCACTAACAAGTAGTTTTCATTACAGAAGAAATAAGCGAACGTGAGGCAACGGTCCTTTGGAGAAAGTGACGCAGCGGACTCACCGCGGGCGGTGCGCAGCGGTCACTGAGCGGCCGCAGGCCACGCTTCACTCAGGGTCCGCACGTTAAAAAGTTAGTCAGAGGCGACCACATTGATGTTCCTCTCTCCAAAAATTAATGAGTCTTTAAAACAACAAAAGCGAGACATTATGTGGAAAAGAAACGGCAGCGAGTCCCGTGGTGGGCGTGGGTCCGGGCCCCCGCGCCAGCTCCTCAGCCAGCGTGGCCTCAGCGCAGACCCCGTGGCGGGAAGAGTGGCGTTTTGGGGGCTGCTAGTGGCTCCGCCCCGCGACTCAGGCCACGTGAGGAAACGGCGCGCGGGACGCGGCCGCAGCTCCGAGGGCGCGCTCATCCCGCGTTCGCGCGCCGGGCCGGCAAAGGCGGGTCCTCCGGCAGATGTCCGGCAGCGTGAGCCGAGTCGCCCCGATCTTCTCCTTAAAATGGAGCCGACTGTCCCCACCCCCGCCGTCCTCTGCCTGTTCCCTGCTGACCCCACCTCCCCACCGGAAATCCTCACTGAGGGAAAAGCCTGGCTTTCCTCAAATGGACGTCCGCGTTCCAAGTAACTGCAGGACCCGCGCACGCCCGTCGGCCGGTTTGCCTCTCGGACTGAGGAACCGGAGGGCGGACCGCGGGCTCGTCCTGGCCTCGACCTCACTCTGGTGCGACGAGTACGCGTCCGCTTGTCTGTCTGACCTCAGGCAGACTATCGTGACCCACGACGGAGGCGGCAGAAACACCTCCCGGCTACTGGATCGTGCCCCGGCTCTCCGCTTCCGGTCACGGCGTCGCAGGCCCCGCGAGGCGGGGTGGGAAAGCCGAGGCGGACCGGAAGCGGGTGCGCGCGACGACGGCGCGGCCGCGGCTGTTCTCGTTGCCGCGGCCAAGGATTTCTGAGAAGGTGACGGACCGAAAGTGTCACAGGGGACCTTTGTACACATAAATTACTAAAATTCTGTTGCGCGCCAAAAATATTTTTGCCAATCTGACTAAAAAAAAAAAAGGTATAATCGTTATTCGTTGACACCAGATGTCTCGTGTTGGTCATTGCCATTTCTTTATTTGACAATCTAAAGGAAAAGAAGACACTACCCCTGACTAAATAGTCAGGTATTTATTGCATGTTTTTAAAATCCTTGCAGCACACCAGTTGAAAATCGCTTCTATAGGAATCTCGAACAAGACTTCTGTCTTTGACAAGCTTACAATCCAATTGAATAATAACCTCTTACTATAGCCTGCTAAAATGAGATTCTGGTACAACTCTTGCCCAAAGTCACTGAGCTAATCATTGTTAATCAGACAAATGCTGGGAGGTAGGAAAAGTGTGGATCGGGACAGAATCATGGGTCCCAGGAGCTCCACTTTTAAGGCATAAGAATGGCCAAAAGTGCCAGTTCTACAAATGTCAAGTAGGGAAAGAATGGACAAATAAGCACTAAGTTTGTCCTTAGTTGTACAAGGTTGGTGAGAGCCAGATCCAGAGGGAATCGGTTTCATGAAGTCTAAACGAAAGTTTAAAAACCGGGGCGGCAATGGTTTTTCAAGATAACAGGAATTAAATGTGTGTTAATAAAAGTTTTAGGGCAGTTTTGGTAAGGATGAGATAAAATAACACGGATTAATCAGGCACATTAGGAGAACTATGGATTATACCTCGAGAAAAATATGCTACAGCAAAAAAAAAAAAAACCCACAAAAAAAACACACACACAAAAAAACAAAAACAAAAAAACACGAGGAAGAGAAAATTCTGCCCTTATTAGTGCAGAGACTGCATTTGCCTCAACACTGTTACCCCCAAACTGGTGGGAAGTTTTTTGTCTCCATCTGAAGCCAGCTCCTCCTCTTCTGCAACTGGCACCAGAAACCATGAACATACACAGGATTTCCTCACTGAGTGAAGAGAAGGGGTTGATGTGGATGGAAAACGGTTCACTGGCTGCCCAGGGTCCCAAGCCCCATGGAATGAAGAGACAAGGTGTGGGAATGCAAGGTGGCAGGCAGTTGATGATTGGAGCCCTCCAGAATATTATTAGATTGATGGTAGGGGTTTGAAGTCATCTTATTGTATGGATCACTCATTTCAGCATTTAGTTTACAAAAAGAAAGGAAGGCTGGCTTGAAACTGGCTTATCACTAGCTAGTGGGAAAAAAATCCAAACACATTAATTTTTCTCTTCAGTTGCAGGAAGTCATGCAAAGTGCTCTTGCACTAACATTCACACAAACCCAGAGGTCACTCTTTAGTGTGGAGGTGCTGATGTCTGATGAGTGTTGAGCTCTGACTGAAGGCTTTGCCACAGTCATTACACTTGTAAGGCTTCTCTCCGGTGTGAGTTCTCTGGTGAATAGCAAGGGAAGAGCTCCGACCAAAGCCTTTCCCACACTCTGTACACGCATGCGGCTTTTCTCCGGTGTGGACTCTCTGATGTTCAGTGAGGGATGAGCCTCGACTGAACACCTTCCCACAGTCCCTGCACTTGTAGGGTTTCTCTCCAGTGTGTGTTCTCTGATGTTCGATGAGGGATGAGATCCAGCTGAAAGTTTTTCCACATTCACTGCACTCGTAGGGGTTCTCTCCTGTATGTATGCGTTGGTGCTGAATTACGGTTGAACGATCACTGAAGGCTTTCCCACATTCTTTACATTTGTAAGGTTTTTCTTGAGTGTGAGTTCGCTGATGTTGACTAAGGTTAGTGCTTCGGCTGAAGGTTTTTCCACATTTACTACATTCATACGGCTTTTCTCCAGTGTGGATCCTCTGATGTAGACCAAGGTGAGTGCTCCGGCTGAAAGCTTTCCCACACTCACTGCATTCATAAGGTTTCTCTCCAGTGTGAGTTCTTTGATGTTCAATCAGGTGTGTACTTCGGCTAAAAGTTTTGCTACATTGCTTGCATTCAAAAGGTTTCTTCCCACCATGAATTCTACTGCGAATAAAAAGTCCTGATTGGTAATTAAAGGCTTTCCTGCATTCATTGCACTTACAAGGTTTCTTTTGTGGGAAAACTTTTTGGTGTTTAATTAAGTCTGAATTGTCTTTGGGGTTTTTCCTGGATGTGGGGAATCTAGCTCCCTTTGGAATCTTGTGCTGTGTATTAAGTTTTGATCTGAGACTAAGTTCACTGGATTTTGGGCCTCTCTCTGCAGTGACAACCTCCTTGAGAGTCACTGACAGTCTTCTGACAGCTGTTTTCTCAGATTTCTTCAGTGCAGGACATGTTGTCTTCCTTGACAGCTGGCCCTCAGTTCCACAGGCGTCTGAATTTGTAGGACCTCGAGTAGTACTTCCTATGAGATTTTCCATTGCTGACCCTGAGAATTGTAGGTCTTCAGAAGTAGCCTGACTGCTGTTGATGCTTTGCTTCAAGTCAAATCTTCCTATATCTGAAAGACATTTAAAGTGCAGAGGTTATCTCTGTCTAGTGTGGAGAGCAAAGAAAATAAAGTAGCAGCAAAAAGAAGTAATTTGTTCTTTATGCACACTAGCAAATTTATATGGGGAGAAAATAAAATGAGGCAGTGGAAGTGAGCAAGGCCAGAAGAGATACCAGGCTTTTTTGTTTGTTTTTACAGTGGAAATGGAGACGGAGACACCAAGAAATACGGGCATGTGACTGGGTAATACTGAAAGCTCCCCTCACCACACCCAAAATGGAAATGAGCAGGTACTGTAGCTGATGAGCTAAGCTGGGGATCAGAAAGTACAGTGAGCCCATGGGCATGACAGCAACAAGCTCACAGCAGGATCTGAGATCTGCTGAGTGAGCAGTTGATCTGGTTTCATAAGTCTTTACCTTCTCATAGATGGGGAACCTCCCAGATGTGGAGCTGAACCCTGGAGGACATTTGCCAAGAAGCCATGCTTGGAGAACCTCAAGAACAATGTCACAATGCTATCGGTGTCCATCTTTGCCAAGAGCATGCCTTTTGGCTGGAAACAGGGAACTCAAGAGCTCTACCATGGGGTTGATTGAGGAGTCAGAATTTCTGATTTATTTAGAACCTTGCAAAAAATCCAGCTGCAGACTTTAGGGGAACTGGCCTTCCTGCTGGGTTGACCAGCCTACATTTTTACAGCCCAGATGCTATGTTAACCCATCCTCAGGGTACTTCTTTTATTACAGCAGTCCCCAAGGCAGCAGTGCCACCTCCCAGGGGGAGTGTTGGGAATTTATGAGAGTTTTTTGGTTGTTATGTTGGTGGGGTGGTGGCCAGGGATGATCGGCATTCCTGCAAAACAAAGAATGTTCTTTATCTCACCAGACCTTTCAAAAAAGCTGTTACCCAAAACTAGAACCTAACACTGAGGCTAGAACCCAATACTACTTGAGGTGTAAATACAAGATACTTTGCACAGCTTTGCAATATATTGGAAAATCAAGGAAACATACTTTTTAAAAAATGTTATTAGAACATGCTCACCATTTCGGTAAAATCAAGCCATTCATGGTATCAGATTCACAAATATGACATTCAATATCAGTCTTCATTTCTAGCTGTTGTATTCACAGTGATTCTATGAATAGGTACAAGTATCAATTTCATCCAGTCATTAACATGTTGAAATACATATCCTATCATAAATTACTTTCCTTTTTCTTTCACCTATGTCTCTATGTAGTTACTTTGATTTACAAACTTTATTTCAGAACTGTAGGGGGGATGGTAGGTCTGAAGGGTAAGGAAATACTTCTCTATGCAGTGGAACTGAAGCACTGACAGTTACCGAGAGGTGAATGGTGCATCTCTTTGTAGGTAATTTGCAAAGCTTCTAAAGCCTCCAGAGCAAAAGTCTTGGTCCCCAAATGGAGTCTGTGAAGATCTGAGAACACCCACACTGCCATAAAGGTGATGGGAGAACAATGGGGATTTTGCACATGGTGGAAAATTACCTTTTTACATATTACATTGCATCCCGGAGAAGAGATTGTTGCGGAAATGTTTGGAGGCAAAGGGAAACCAGGAGTATCTGAAATCAGAAGATCTTTGAGAATTCGTACACTAGAACCATTAAACCAGAAGGTACTTAAAGGTAGGCAGAATATCCTGAACAGAGAGAAAACTATGACAGAGTTCATAGGCGATAGCCAGTGTTAAGTTTAGGATTCACTCTCATGCTTATTAATATCTTGATGTTTGCTAAAATGTGCCAATTTGATATAAGATTATCTATAATTCAATTAATGTATATGCAGTACACAGTGTAAGAGTCCCAAAATGCAGTTGTTTTTGCATTTCAAAAAAGCTCATGACATGAATAACTGTACCTTGTGGTGTGTGTCTGTGCATGTGACACATGACAGACACACAGAAAACCCACTGGGTCCCAGGCTGGTGTAGCTCAGTGGATTGAGCACGGGCCTGCGAACCAGAAAATCGCGGTTTGATTCCCAGTCAGGACACATGCCTGGGTTGCAGACCAGTTCCCTGCAGGCCAGTTCCCAGCAGGGGACGAACAAAAGGCAACCATACATTGATGTTTCTCTCCCTCTCTCCTTCCAAAGATAAATAAATAAAATATTTAAAAAAAAAAAAAGAAAAGAAAACCCACTGGGGAAAGCATCTAACTTGGAGGTGCCTCTGGAAAAGGGACTTCTTTGGGTCTATTCTTTTGCACCTGTCTTTTCTAAGCACTTTACAAAATCCAGACTCATTTATAATGTGCAGTGATGAGAAGGTACTATTATTATTCCTTTATATCATAATATAAATCAAAAACGGGTACAGTAGATACACCCAAGGCCAAGTGATAAGTCCTGGACTGAAACTTACCTCACAGCACTTACTGCTTCTCAACAGACAGGGAAAGAACATTTGAGTCACACCTTCCATTCCTGAGGGCCCTAAATGGCTAAGAAACTAAATTCCTCTAACCCCAGGACACCAGCCCAACCTTGACTCCACAGTACAATGGAGGCTTAGAGAGGGACTACTCTGAGAGGCTGTAGTGAATCCCAAACATTTGAAGCCCTATCTATGTAACCTAAGGATTAAATGTGCCACACCCCTCACTAAAGTGCCAACAGTGTGAGTGGTAACCTTGGCATGAATCAGTGAAACATCAGAAAGAGGCCTCATAGTGCAAATATTTACGAAGTAATCTGGATTTTGGGTATAGCTCTGTTGATAGTTATATAAAAACAAGGAGAAAATAGCCAATCTAGTTTTATGTTCCCTCAACTGTAAAAAAAATATGTGACTTGATGATCTGGTCTAAAGCTATGGTTCCTACAGTTTAATTTTAGGTCCCAACTCTGAGGCACATACTGTCTACCTAGACTTGAGATGAGACTAGAATGAACAGATTCAAATACCCAGAGTCACATGAGAACCCTGGGTCTGTATTTCAGATGAAACCAATCTGGAAACAGGCCAATAGGGCTGTGTTCTTCAATGGCCTGGGAAAGAGTAGAGTGAAGGAGTGTGGAGGACATTAAGAGCAGTCAGCAGGCAAATTGGCAATAGTCCTGTACTGGGCAAAATTTGGCCGACTCACCTAGAAAGGAAAGTTCTATAAAAGCAGAAATGTGTCTTTGCTCAGCAAGGTGACACAGCTTTCAGAAAAAAGGAAGATCCCTTAAAATATGTGGGTTATAGATCTAACAGTGGATTAGACAGTTACCGTTCTGTCTTCCTCCTCCTCCTGGCTTTCTTTCTGGCCAAAGGCAAAGCTGGGAATAGGTCTTATCCCAGTTCTTCCCACATACTAAGAAAAAGGCAATAGACATTTATTTCTGTCTGGGCCAGTCCCTAGTTCTTTAATGATAAAAGGTAAAGGGGATGGAGCTGTGCCAAGTCCAAACTCTCTAGGTGAGCTGAGGCATATATCCAGCCTCCTTGTCAATCTCCTCACATTGGGTATGTGTGCACAGTGGGTATGGTTTTCTCCTGAAGGTCAAAGGAAGGAAGAAAGGAAGCTTACTCTTCCGCCATCATAGGGCTGTTGATTCCCTGGCAAGTCACCCACCTTTCTAAAAAACTGGTCCCACACTGCAAAATGGCGCTACTGGTGCTTGCTTGTCTTTCTTCACAAAGCCTCTGTAAATGCTACAAGTTAAAAGATGGCAGACAACAAGGAATGTCATAGACAACAAAAGGAGATTATATTATTGCTGTGCTTACTGCAAATGAATTACTTTAAAATTGTAGTGGGGTACATTTAAGGAAAGATGCTGGCAGAGGATGCGAGGCTCCCTTCAGCAGGTGCTGCTGCACGGTTCGACAGAGGCATTCTTTTCCTGGAAGTGGAGGATGCACATGCAATGGGGACGGGGGCCTGGTGGATGTGACAAACATCTCCAGTGAGCCTCCACATACATTTCAGGGAGGCCAGGTGATCACGATCTCCACAAGCTTCGAGCCATACCCTTCTTCAGGTTTCACCCAGGATTCCTCTACCATGGTGTGAAACATTGCCTCTCTTTCCCTTTTTCCCCCCTTTCTTGGTCATACTTCCTTATCTGCATCACCTTACTGCTCTATGAACTCTGCGTCGGTACCGAAGCTCTGAAGTCCAGTGGTCACCAAGTACAGGGGCACCAGCAAACACCACCTGCCCTTAAGTGACTAACTCTCCAGCCTGAACAGTGCTGGTCACCTCCTGTTCTCACCATCTGAAACTCCTTTGCCCACACCTCTTCCTCTTATAAAGAATTCCTGATCTGAAAAGAATTCTCCCTTTTTTCTGCTCCCTTCAACATGAAGAAATCATATTGTTCAGAAGGAAGCAGGTTCTGAAGGTTAGGGAGCAGCTCTTCTCTGGACTGCCAGCTTCCTGTGTTCTTTGCACAGAGGAATCAGCTTTGGAGAGAGATGACCACATCCCCAAGTCTAGCAAAGACGGGCTTCAGACAAGTGTTCATGGAAATAAGCTCAAAATCACGACAAATTCACAGAATTTAATGTGCAGAATTTGTCAACACCTCCACCAACAAGTAACACCTACTATAGCCAAGTACCAACCCTCATCATCAGAACCATAAATAAAGGTTGTGTAGCTTCAAGTAAGCTGCTTTATCTCTGTGCCTCAGTTTCCTCACCTGCATCTGGGGAATGATGATGGTACATTTCAGGGGGTTAGTGCGAGGATTTGACGAGGTAGCGCAGGTAAAAATTGCGGACAGTTACTGACAAACGGCCCAGTGAAGAAGCCATCCTGGCCCTGCTGGAGGGGTGAGGAACGCATCTCCCGAGGACGCCCAAAACCAGCACCCGCGTCGGTGGGGCAGGGACTGGGCCAAGCCCACCCACAAGGCCAGGGCCGCGCGCAGAGACATCCCGCCCACCCGCAAAGGAGATCCGGGCCCATCCGCAGACAGACCCTCCGGGCCATCGCCCGCCTTCTCAGGGAGCCCGGTGTCCCCGCAAGACCACTTCCCAGAGCCCCGGTTCCGCTGCAGAGTCATGCTCGCCCCACTCACCGACCGCCTTCCGCCTAGCACTGGATCAGTCACCGGGGGACCCGTGCTTCCCCGGAACCTGAGTGCTTGGGGAGCGGGGAAGCCGGAAGCGTTAGCAGAAAACCCCTGCACGGACCGCTTTCTCCCGCGCTCGCCGAGCTTCCCGGGGTCCTAGCCGCTCTTCACACTCTTCGTTCAGACCCCTAGTCCTTCTTGTGCAGTGGGCAGGGCAGGTGCACGCTGATCAGCAAGGGTGACTACTGCTCCGAGCGAAGATGCCTTGTCCGACAACCTAGACAGTAGGGGGCGTGCCGAGCACGCCCGCTGCGCATGCGCGGAGAGCGGCTTTCAGGCAGTGCCGAATCTCTCAGCTCGTCCGCGGGGGTCCCCGGGTGCGAACGCGGCAGAGCCCAGCCATCAGCCACGCTTTATAGGCAGTTTTAAGTAGCGTGCCCCTGAGTGTGGAGAATAAAGGGTCTGCTTTACCGGTTTTTCTGAGACTTAAATAACACCCTGGTGTGCAGCGGTCGTCAGCGTTGCTGTTTAATGATCACGCCTGCACTTCGCAAGTCTCCCGCTTGCGCCTCTTCACAGCTTTACTTGCGAGGGTCATCTCTTGGCCCTCTGCTATCTTCTCAGATAAGATTGAGTTTCCTGTCCTTTGTGAAACTCCTGAGGGAGGAGTGACTACAGACAGACATTTGGGGGAAGTTAAATTGGAAAGATTCAAAATTTGGATTCGGTGGGCGATATTTATGTGGCTTCTGGTCGCGTCCGTGGGGAGTGAAAGTGCAATGCCATATTTTAGGGGGGTGCAAAATGCAACTGCATCTGTCTGGGTGGTTCCTGAACGTACGGGAAACACAGGAGCCTTTGGTGTGGGGAAGCTTCCAGAACCCTCATCCCGGAAATCAGCCCCAAAGCACTTTGGAACTCCTGGTCCTTGTGGGAACAGATCCAGACGCATTCAACTGGAAGTGGGATTCTAAAAGCCTGCCTCCCTCGAAGGCAAAGAACCACATCTTGGGGATGGGATGGCATGGGACGGGATGGGTCAAGACATTTCCACCTGAGGCAGGAGTGCTAACCTCACGCCCCCATGTTCTTCTCCAGTGACGGTTTCCTCGGGCCTAGTTCTGCGGTGCATCCTTGGTTCCCTCTGCTCTTCTTCATTAGCCAGGACAGCCTTAGAAGAGGCAGGGTCAGAGGCTGCTGAAAGCAAAGACTCGAGGAACCACTATAATCAGCTGGTTCTCAGGAGGTTGGGGGTGAAGAGCGATTTAAAAAGGCTGGGAAAAGAGACGGGAGGGGAGCAGGGGGAACGACGAGGAAAACCGAAACGTTCTCCTTTTGGAAACACAAGATGTGATGATGGAGCTGGACCTCAGTGAGGGGCCTCCATGTGTACCCAGCGCGCACCTAGAGCTCGGGGACCCCCTTCATTGTGGGTTTTGTAGCAAATCTGTTGCTAAACTGTAGTCTACAGCTGAGCTAAATCTTCGAGAGCTTACGTATGTAACCTTCCTTAAGGAAAACCTTCCCAAAATTCGCTTGAGGATCAGTCTGCCATGCAAGTGTGGTGCACAAGTCCCATGTCCTCCCCTTCCACGCAAAGATCTCGCCTTCTGCTAGAAAAATTAAGACATGTCTGATAAATTAAGACTCATTGAATGTGACACATTGCCCTTGGGTGTAAAACGCCCTTTCCCGGGATTCCTGTCACGGGAACGATTGAAATACTGAGTCAGGGACACCTCCTCCTTCAATTGTCTCCTGCACTATTTCATGGAGAAGGAGGTGATAATTCCACATTTACTTCCATTAGAGGGCTTTTAAAATGACTGTCCATGTACTGTGCCTCGATTGATGGTGCAGTACAAGCAACTGCAAATATAACACAATCTACAGGAAGTATTTTAACACAGCTTTGGGGGCACAGGGAATAACATCAGTTTTCAGTGTGTATAACTATTTGGTACAGAGAAGCATGACAGGAAGACTTTTAAAAGACTACAAAATGAGGTTGTGTTTGGATAAAAGTCTGTGGGAGACATGGAATAGAACTAACAAAGTATTAATGTAAAATCTTCCACTACAGATTAAAGAAGTCCTCCCCACCCCAGAATGTGGGTATTACCATAGTTTTTAGATTCTTTTGATACAAGGCATGATGTCCTTCAGGGGAATTTACACTTATGAAGAAAAATGTTACATGTCCACTGGAAAAAAAAATGAGACGGAACACCAGGTTTGTCAAAATACTTTTAGGAGGGTAAGAAAACCCCAAGGCAGTGAAGCACACAGTAGGGCCACCCACAGTCACCACCACATTTCTCTGTGTAATGACTATCATTTTTCCTCCTACCAAGAAAAAAATTCAGATTTTACCAAATTTGGCAGATTCTTACCATTGCTGTCCACTGGTTGCTTTTCACTGTTTTGTATGTTTGTTTTTTCTTGGTGCCCAGTATATAAGGGCTGACAGATTTAACCAACCATTCCATAGATATTAAATGGAAACAATCAGTGGCATTGTGTTTATTTTTCCTGGCACAACTGTATTAAAACAAGAATTGATTTCTCAATGGCATTTGCATTCCTTCTCTACTGACATGCATTGGACATCAGCAAGTGCTGGATGAAATGATTCTGTGAGGCTTAAACATCTGCTCAGTTACCTTTCCTGAGTTCAAGAATGAATCTGCCACACTGTGAAACTGCAGTAGTCGCTGACCCCTTTCCTGTGCAGGGTTAAAAATGTTTCCTTAGGGTCTAGGTAGCTCAGATGGTGGAGCTACTCAACTTTTAATCTGGGGCCCAGGGTTCAAGTCCCTGTCCTGTTGAGGCACTTGTTTCTCCTAGTTCAAAGGGTGCTTAATTGTTGTCTAAAGGAACTTTGGCTTAAAGTTTGAGGACATTTACCTGCCTAGAATGAGGAAACGCCAAGCAATCAAATACCTTCAACCTTAACCAGTAGCTGAGATTTGCTACTCTAGTCCAAGCAGAAGACGATTTAAGCAGTTTGTAATAATGGACATTTCCTAAGTAACATAGCACAACAGGCTTACAGTCCATGGCATGTAAGAATGCTATCCCTGTAGACAAGGGTGTTTTAGAAAAGTATCTGAAAAGGAACTGTATTTATCGAGTAAAGTATTTGCCCTGTCAAAACCCAGCACTTTTAGATTTTCAGCTCTTCATTCTCACAGCTGAGCTCCTTGGCAGTTGGGGAAAGCTCTCTCACACACCATGGTCATGTCACATTCCCGTGATAAGCACAATGGTAGGGAGTCATTTGACCAATACTGCAGTATGGTCTTTAGTTGAAATATCCAGAAATATGGGAATACTGTACCATTCATTTTGCAGTTTTGGCCAATTGTGTGTTGATGGTGCAGTTGACTGCTCAGTGGATTGTATTTTTCTTTAGAAATATGCATTTCCCCCTCCTTCTCTGCTGAAAGATTATACTTCCCATTCCAGTTGAAGATAGTACTATGGTCTATGTAGAAAATCCCAAGGAACTTAAAAACAAACAAAATACCTAGAACTAATAAGTGTGCTTAGCAAAGTCACAGAATACAAGATCATAAACACATGGGCACCAGAATTAAAATATAATACCACTTACATTAACAGAGAGAGAGAGGAAATATTAGATGCAAATCTACTGGAACCTGTTCATGCTAAAAACTACAAAATGCTGGTGAGAGAAATCAAAGACCTAAATAAATAGGGAAGTATTCTCTGTTCATGGATCTGAAGACTAAGCATAGTAAAGGTGTAAACTCTTTTTTTTAAGATTTTATTTATTCATTTTTAGAGAGAGGTGAAGAGAAGGAGAATGAGAGGGAGAGGATCATCAGTGTGTGGTTGCCTCTTGTGTGCCCTGTACCATGGACCTGTACCAGGGACCTGGCCTGCAACCCAGGCATGTGCCCTGACTGGGAATCGGACTGGTGGCTCCTTGGTTCACAGCCCGCACACAATCCACTGAGCTACACCAGCCAGGGCTGTCAACTCTTTTCAAAATGACATAAGTTTATTTCCCATGAAAACCTAGGTGAATTTTTTTTGTAGAAATAGACATAAGTATTCGAAAATGGAAAAACAAATGGGTTAGAATAACTAAAATGACTCTGAAAAAGAGAGACAGTTAAAAAAATCACTTGTGATTTCAAAACTTATACAGACAGTAATAAAGACTGTGCATTAGTGACAGAGTGGTAGGCTTATAAGTTGATGAAACAGTGTAGAGAACCCAGAAATTACCATGTACAAGTACACTAAGTTGTTTTTGACAAAAGTTTCAAAGTAATTCAGTAGAGTAAGAAAAGTCTTAGTCTTTTCAAAAAAGTGCTAGTTGAACAATTGGATATCCATAGGTAATGTATAATTTAAAAATTAATTGCAATGGTTCATAAATGTAAGTAAAACATAAAACTTTTAGAAAAAAGCATAGACAATTTGGGGGCCTGGGGCTTAGTGGAGAGTTCTTAGACATGACACCAAAAACACAATCCATAAAAGACAATTTTGACTAACTGGATTTCATCAAAATTAAAGACTTGCTCTGCAAAGGACCTTGTTAAGACAAAAAGGCAAGCTACAGACTGGAAGAAAATATTTGCGAACAATATATGTGACAAAGAACTCATACTAGAATATACAAAGAACACTCAGGACTCAATATTAAAACAACAATCAATCCAATTAGAAAATGAGCAAAAGGGATAAAGAGGTATTCCACCAAACAGGATATACAAAAGGGAAATAAGTCCATGAAATGATGTTCAGCGTCACTAGTCATTCAGGAAATGTAATTAAAACCATGATGAGCTGTCTCACACACCTGCTAAAAGAGATAAATTAAGAAATGATGACACTGTCAATGGCACAAACATACAGAGACACTGTAACTGTCGCACCTTGTAAATGCTACAGCCACTCTGCAAAAAGTACACTTGTCATACAATCCAGCATTTACCCCAGAACAATGAAAACTATGCCCACTCCAAAACCTGCACATTACTATTCATAGAAGCTTCGTTTGTAACAGCCTGGGAACAACGGAACAGTCCCTCAATACGTGAACCGTTAAGCACTGTAGTACACCTATACTGTGGAATACTACTCAGCGGTTAAAAAAGAATGACCAATGCAGGCAACAGTTGACATGGATCTCAAGGACATTGTGCTAAATGAAAAAGAACGACCGATCTTTTTAAACATATTTTTTATAATTAAAGTAGTCATCTAATGCAAATTTTTAAGGCTCTTTTTATCTATTTTTAGAGAGGGGAAGGGAGGGAGAAGAGTATCAATCAGCTACCTCTCACACACCCCCAACTGGGGACTTGGTTGCAACCCAGGCATGCGCCCTGACCGGGAATGGAACCGGCAACCTTCCCATTCAGAAACCATGGCCCAACCCACTGAGCCATACCAGCCAGAGCAGAGACAGCCAATCTTAAAGGTCACATTCAAAAGCATACATTCCTAAAGATAAAAGGTGTACAACCTTGCAAATGAGTCCTGTCCAGCATCCGCACAGAGGCAGCTGCTAAGGAACAAGTGTCGGTGTTCAGGGACTTCCTGAAAGTTCTACTCTCTGGATATAAGAAGTGGGAAAAGAATGTCCTATTATTGTTCTTGTTATTACTCTAAATGGCCCCAAGCAACATCCAGTAGAAATTGTGGTCACCATGTAACAATTCGAGCAGTATATCTGTTTTATTCTCTGTATTCCAGGGGCACCTTCCTTGTGAAAATTGCACCCTTGTAAGCAAATTAAAATGCCCTCTTTTATCCAAAAGATTGTCTGTGAGACTTATAACAGGAAACAAATGAGGCAGTTGGCTCGCCTGCTCCCCCAGGCACAGCAGAGTGGCTGGGCGACCCCTCAGATGTTACCCAAGAGGGTCCTCCCAGGTCTGCTCTGTGCAACAAACGTCTCCTGGGAGGGGAAAACCCCGATTTTGAACTTTCTGTTGGATTGGAAAAGCACAGGCCAGGAGGTCAGGGCCTGGGCCATCTGCATGTGGAAGCGCAGGTCTCCAACGTGCACGGGAGAGGCAGGAAAGCAAGGAAAGAAAAGGTCGCCCTGGCTGCTGTAGCTCAGTGGGTTTAGCACACCCCTGTGAAACAGAGGCTCACCGGTTCGGTTCCCAGTCAGGGTGGGTTGCAAGCCAGGTCCCCAGGAGGGGACACAGGAGAGGCAACCACACATTGATGTTTCTCTCTCACTCTTTCTCCTCCCCTTCCCTTCTCTCTAAAAAGTGTGTGTGGATATTGAGTCACACGAGTCACAGTCACCGAGGGTACATCACAGTCACAGAGGGTACAGAGGGTTTCTTCTTGGGCCTTTCACTTGAGCGTCCACTCGGAAAGAAGGTAGGTAGCTCACTCCAAGCGCGGAGCCCCATCAGGACAGGGGACAGGACGCACCTTTCCACGGGTCCCCTCCCGCGGACCTCCAGTGGACCAGGGACCCCCCGGGGGGAGGATTTTCAGCCAAAACTGGAGGTGTAGGTGGGGCAGGAAGAGGCGCCCCCTCCCTGACGTCCAGTAAAGAAGGAAGGGGCCGGAGGACGCGCACCCAGCCCAGGGGCTCCACGCAGATTGAAAGGAGAGTCAGAGTCAATGTCGCCCGCGCCTGGACCCCGCGAACTGCCCCCGCGCGCGGGGCCCAGCAAGCCGATGGGGGTCATGTATGGAGTGAGTGCACTTTAAGTCCTCGTACACATTTCTGAAGAAGAAAATGGAACGAATCCATACAATCAACTGTAAAAACAAAGTGCATATATTAAGTTTAACTGCTACCAAAGAAAAAGTTAAAAAAAAGGGGGTGGGGGACAAAACTGTCTACCAAAATAACACGCTGGGTGAAGAATAGATTGTCTGTGATCATTTAGTATAAAAGAATAAAATGCTTTCTTCCTTAAAAATTTTAAAATTAGAAAATATATCATTTGAAAGGGGAAAATAAGACGACTAACTTGGATGCAGTCATTATGGAGAAACCAAATAGCCAATTTTTACACAAATGTCATAAGGTCTCGCTTAATTTGTGGCCCCATAGTTTGCGAAACCAGAGTCAACTGTGTGACTTTCTGAAAATTTCAAAAACAACTTTTAAAGATGACTAAAACAATTCCTTTTAATAAGAATAAAATCGGCCCAGATGGAATCCGACTCTTTCGAGAAAGGTCGCACGAATATGAGTTCCCCTCAAAACCCACTCTTGTCCAAAAGCGGGTGCGGACGTCTCCCACTTCGCTCCCCTCCCGGAGCTCCGGGCCCGCCGCGCCAGGTGGGGCCGCGGGCGGAGAGAGCAGGTGGGGCGCACTGAGCTCGGGCCGGCGCTGCTTGCGGGGACTCAGGTTCTGGGCGAGCAATGGGAGGGCGCCTGGGCTTCCGCGCGGGAGGCGAGCCTGGGTGGGGCCGGACGTGGCTGCGTCTGGAGCGTGTCCTCCTGACAGGTGACCAGCACCTACTGGCCGTGGGGCTGCGCGGGCGCACCCACCGGCCTGCGGTCCTGGGCTCCCCGCTCCGTCTCCGGGAACCCGGCGCTGGCCCAGGCCAGCTCTGCGAGACTCGGTGACCGCGGCCGCTCGGTCCCAGGCCTGTGCTCCGCGACCCCCCTCGAAATGCTCTCCTCGCCCCGCGTGTTTCTGTTCTCACTTGGCGCTGACTTGAGGTCGCGGGGCCTGTGGGTGTCGAGCGCCCCGAGACCCTCGCACTTTCCTCGCGCCCGGATCCCAACCGTCGCCGAACCCTGCGCGCTTGAACTCGGCTGAGTCGGCAGGTGTCGGAAACCTCGGAGGCCAAACCACCCTCGAAGAAGTCGCCGAGCCGCCCCACTGCCCTTCATGGGCAGCTACCTGGGTAAACTGCGACCGTCGCCGTGCCCGGCAGAGGGGCGCACAGATCTGGGCCAGACGCCGGTGACCCGCCGGCCCTCTCAGGCCCTTCACCAGGTCCACCGGGTTCAGCACGTCCACCGCGCCCACCCTGCCCCTCGGCTCAGACCTGCGAGAAGGCCCAGGACCTGGGACCCTGCCAACCCCGCCTCGTGGGTAGTGAATGAGGCCTGGAAGCGCTTTCCCATGAAGCGGCCCCCGAATTCCATCCTGGGGCCTCTCCCCGCAGACTGGTGGGAAAGTTACTTAAAGCGGACTGTCTGGTCTCTTCGGCACCCCAGGGCAGTGTGGAGCCCCGTGACCATCAAAATCACTCCTCGGAGGGGGCTCCCCACCAAGTCCCCAGCACAGGCCATCAGCCTAGCGGGGCCCTCGCCCCCTGAGGAGCCCCCAGACCCACATGCAAGGGAGACAGTGCTCAGGAGCCTGAGAGAGGGCACGAAAGGGGGACTGCGGCTGGAGGGGACACCGTCCCCAAACCCTGAAAGGCTGGACAGTAAGCGGAGGAGTCCAGACGCCAGACCGTGCGCATTTAAGCCTCTGACCAGAAGTGGAGACTTCGCTTCCTTTGTGCCGAGTCTTGGGCCTCTGAAGAGAAGCCTGGGCTCCTGGAACTCAGACCACAGCCTGAGGAGGAGGCCCGCTTCCTCCTCTGTGAGCTCCCTGGCCAGCTCACACGCAGGAGGGCCCTTCCGTTCCAAAAGAAATGCAATTACGAGCTCTTACAGCTCTTCCAGAGATTTCTCCAAGCCCTGGAAGAGAAACGTTCTCTACTCATCCTTCCAGATGCCCGAGTGGCCAGTGAAAAAGAAAACCAGCCAGCAGGATCACTCTGCAGTCCCACTGGCGTCGAAGGAGTACCGAGCAGCGTCTGGCAACACTCGGCAGAAAAATGAGGACATTCCACAGCCATGCTCTCGTCCTGGGGCTCTGCTGTCGCTGAGCCCACCTCTCCAGCTTGGTTATGCAGACATTGCTGAGGACCTGGCCTTGGGGGTGAAAGCTGGACTCCAGTGGGGCAGCAAAACCAGACAGGATACAACAGAGGTCACCACGGGGTCTCCCCTATTTGTCACTCTGCCTCCTGCAGGCACAGGTCCAACCCAGGGCCCAAATCTTCATGTGGCATCTCCAGGCCCACTGGCCCCCCCACAGTGGAGGGCGGAGGAAATCAGTGTGGCCCACTCATCTCTGAAGACAGCCGGCCTGCTGGCCCCACCCCTATGCTCGCAATCGCAGCCCCTTCCAGGTCCCTCTTGGGACGAAAAGCCCACAACCGCCATCACCAGTATGACCCCTGCTTCTCCCACATCACCTGCCACTGTCACCACACGGCCACCTCCGACCAGGCAGGCTGACAGGTCTGCCCGACCCCCAGACCCACCCACCATGACCTCTACACGGAGGACTTTGTTTGGAAGGGCGAGGAGACCAGCTCGCCGTCTTTCTGCATCTGCACCTCCTGCTGCAACTTCTGCTGACCCCGCATGGAAACCCATTTGGGGGCCCCCGGCCACCAGCGGGACTGGGGAGTCCTCACCTTCCAGGATCTCAGTCACAGCTGCGGCACGTTCACCTCCAGGCATCTCAGTGCCCGCCTTCGAGCCCATCTTTGGCAGCACAGAACCGCTTACAAGGATGCCCGTGCCAGCTCCCTCTTTCAGGCAGGCCTCCCCTCCAGCCCCTCCTGCCCGTACCCACCTCTGCCAGGGCCCGGTCAAGGCTGCCTCTGCGGCCGCATCCACCCCCGCGGGCAGCGAGCCGCCTCTGGATTTGCCTGTAGCGGATGTTACCGGTGCTGCGGGCAACACTTGCTCTGTCCCTTCCACTTCTCACACTTTTCCCCTCGGGGCTTCCGGTGCTTTCAGGGCCAGCTTCTCCCCCGGCACAGGCTTCATTGTCCCACCTCCCCAGCATGCCACCATTCCTGTGGGAAACGCAGCCAACGTCTTTAGCCAGGTTCCTCCCAGTGCTGCCCAGACACCCCCTGGTAAAAGCACTGCCAACTTTAGGCACAAGGGCAGCCCTCTGTCCGCCTCTGCCCTCGTAACCGCAGGCCCGTCCACACTGTTATCTGGCAAATCCAATCCGATCTCAGTAGTCACAGTTCCTTTGAGGTCAAGCTCAAAGTCACCTTTCCTTCTATCCCTGGGAGCCCCTCCCCAGCCTGCATTTGGGGCTGCAGGTGAGCAAAAGCAAGGGGCCCCCCAACCAGCCCTTGGCCCAAGCTTCAATAGTTCCATTTTTGGAAACTCAGCTGTGGCATCCCCCACCCCAAGTCTGGCTCAGCCAGTCCTCAGCAGCCCCACACAGTCAGCTTTTGGGGTGTTGACACCCTCAGTCCCCACCTTGCACACCCTAGCCAGCATCCAGCCAGACGTAGGCAGCGCCCCAGCAGGTTTCCCCCTTGGTCCAGCTGGCACCACTGGTTTTGGAGTTACCACCGAGACCCGCCAGAATGGGGCTTCTGGCTCAGTGTTTGGCAGCACAGCCCCACGACCATTTGCCTTTGGGGGATTAGTGACCCCTATGGACTGTGGGGAGTCTGGAGTCCCAAACATGAGCTCTAAGTCTGGGGTGCTCTCCATTGGAGCAATGCCAAGTGGGGCCACTCACGCTGCCACACCCTTCGGAAAGGGCTGGAATCAGAACACCCAGGGCCTGAGCAGCCAGAGCACCCCTTTTGCCTCGGGGAGGGTCAGCATTTCTGCAAGGCAGGCTATGCTTGGGGGTCCCCCCATGGCCCCCTTAGCTCAGAGCATCCCTGTCCCTAGGCCAGTTAAGACGGGCAGTAGCTTTGGGAAGCCCTCTCCACCTGCCAAGGGCTCTGTCGGGAGAGGGTCTTTTAAATCACCAGCCCCTTCATTTTCCATTGGTGCAAAACCCAAAACCCCCAAAAATAGAGAACGAGGGCATCCCCGAAGGCACCACACCCACAAGAAATAGCCTGCGTCCCTCACCGGCACCCTGACTCAGACCTCAGTGCTGTCCGGAAGAGCCTCGGTGTCTTCTAATCCTCTAAAGCAAAAGTACCCAGATTTAAGGCTAGAACTTTATGTTCACCTGCGGATCCCCATCTAAATTCTGGAAAGTGGGGCACCAAGATGTCTAGTGGTGACAGCAGAAAAAAACCGGGTGGGAGATCTGGACTTGAACAGACACTTTCCCTCCTGCGCACTCCTCTCTGCCTCAGGTGTGAGCTCAGTCAGAACACCGCCTCCAGCTCCCCCCCCCCCCAAACAGATGCTGGGAAGGCAACAGGCACAGCCCCACCCCTCACCCCTTGCATCTTTGGGAGGAGGAATGGATTCTAAGTCTTGGCTTTTATTTGGTTCTAAGAAGTGGCGTGGCTCCCTTTCTCTGGTTCCTGACAATGCTGAGTCCTCATTCTTTCTGTGTTGTTCCTCAGTGGGTTCTCGGAGGAGTTATGATCCAATTTGACCTGGAACCAGCTTTTCCCTGAGGACCCACGGTCAGCCCTGAGGGTGCGGTGCCACTTCCTCCGACCAAACTGTTTTAATTGTTTTCCAGGAGAGGTGGCATTCCAGACCCACCCTTCTCTCTGCCAGTTTAGCTCTCAGGACATTGGTGAGTGAAGACCCAGCCTGTCAGATCCACAGGTCACTCCTCATCCAGAAAAGGGGAGCTCTGGGCCAGCGTCCCTCCAGGCTGGGAGCGGGCAGGTGGGCCTTCCCTGCCTGCCACGTCTTCACTCGCCATTCTCCAGCGTGTGTCCAGAGACTGCTCTTCCCTGTGTCCAACGGGATGGTCCTGTGTGCTTTCAGTTGAGTTTGGAGAAGGAATGGCTTGCAGGAGTGGTGCTCGGAGGATAGAACCAGACCTACCTGTGCGATGTAACCCTGGGGCCTAGCTAATGGGATGAGTCAAGTTGCACCACAGTATGGCTGCAAACGCCAATTTTCAAGCTTTGGGGCTTTAAGGGAGGACTTGTCAGGAAGAAGAAGGCAGAGCAGGGACAGGTAGGGTGGTGCAACCTTGCTGCTTCTCCCTACAGCTCACGCCATGTTACCTCCAGTAGCAGCAAGAAATGCTCAGTTAGGGAACCAAAGCTTACACCTCCTTTTCCTTTTAATTTGTACCTCAAGTTACTCCTCCACATTCACATCTCACCCAGGCCGGTGGGGCGGGCCGGGCAGGAAGCCTCTTGGGCCTGAGGACAGAGCGGGAAAGCAAAGGGCAGATACCAAGGCTCTGGGACCAGAGGCAGGTCTGTGAATGAGCTGTAACACCTTGTTCAGCACTTCTTAGCATCCTGAAGGAAAAAAAGAACAAGAACAACTCCCCGAAGACATCTATCTCCTGTTTTGCTTTATGGATACCTTGGAAGAGGCCTAATTAGAAAAATGAGTCATCTTAAATTGGTTAATAAAATAAAAATTGTCAAAATAAGTCAATGATGTAGAAATGACTGGGAAAGGCACGCCTGTGCAGAGGCAGAAAGATCTTAAGAAACTTGCCCAAGCCCACCCAAGCAGTAAAGGTGAGATTCAGGATCTAAACCCAAATGGCTCCAAAGTCTGGGCTTCTTCTCCTCATATGACAAGTCACCAAGGTTGGAACTGTAACCCAGGTCTCTGTGACTCTTAAGTATTCATGCTGTTTGCTCCAGCAAAATAAATAGGTGATACCATGTCATATAACTTAGGCACATAGTCATGTTTCCATTATCACACACCTCTTGTCACCTTTGCCAGATTCCATCAGAGGAAAGTCACAGCTTGTGCTAGACACTCAAGGGATGAGATCACACAGGGGCATGCCTAATGGAGGTGGTTATGGGGACCCTATTAAGAGTCTGCTGGTTGGGTTGGTTTCTAATCAGTTAATCTGCACCCTCTGACACCTGTATGTCATGTCCTATAGTGCCAAAGTGCTGGAAAATCAAAGAGAAAAAACTAGGCTGGGATGAGTAGGCATTGCCCATTCAGTAGAAGGCACTCAGAAAGGATTTGCTGGATAATTTTATTTTATATGGGATATATTACATATTTTTAAGTATTACTTTTTGTTTAACCTTACACTAATGTACTTGTTCCCATTACAACAAATACTCTTTGGAACTATAATTCTGAAAAGTCCATGTATTTTACCCAAATGGAAGATACTCAGGGACCATGAGCTTCATGTCTGTTTTGTGTTCACAAATACTAAATGCATTAAGCTCACAGATATTTGTTACAATGAACTAAAGATTATAGCTTATTTTTACATTCCAAGTATTTTTCTTAATAATGCTGAGCTGAACATCTCTGTACGAAAATCTTTATGCACATCTGTGTTTCCAAAAGATCAAACCTGAAAAGTGGAACCATTGGGTTACCAATGGAGAAACCACTTCAGTCTCTTGTTATATATTTATTTGCAAGTTGTTGGTCTTCATGTCCCTGCCCAGGGTTGGTATGAGGAGCAAATGAAATGACCTTGACTAATGAAAGATCTTTTTTCATCCGGAAAGCTTGTCATCTTTCATATGTTTTCTTTTGACTTGTCTTTCTTTTTCTTGAGTTATAGAAGGTTTTTGTTGTTGTTGTTTTCACTGTGAGAATTTGGTATTGCTATGTCTTCTCCCACTTAGAAACTTGCATTTCACCCAAAGAATGATGTCTTCGGATGATCACAAGTTTTTAACTTTCTACTGAAGAATAATATATATTCAGGGAAGTATCCTGAACATCAGGGTAAAGCTCACTGAATTTCCCCACACTGAACACATCAGTGTAACCAGCACCCAAGATACAAAAATATTACAAATATCCAAAAGGCCCCCTTGTGCAGAGTGATATTTATATTAATCAATGTATACTTTCAGATTTTCTTCAGATATTCCTTTACTCTTTTCAATCATCTGGGCTGTTTTGGGCTTCTTTCCTCAGGACAGGTACTTTCTAGCTTCCTTCCATTGTGACTGGAGAAGATGTATTAGTTTAACCTTTTAAAAATTTACTGAGACTTATCTGGCTTAATATACATTCTGTTCTGGAGACAGTTTCTTGTACACTTGAGAAGAATGTATTTGACTGTTGTTGGGTATAGTGTTCTACACACATCAATGGATTTTGTTGACTTATAACATTGTTCGAGTTCTCCATTTCCTTTTAAATCTTCTGTGCCAATGTTCTGTCCACCATTTAAAGTGGAATACTGAAGCCACCAACCAATACTGTAGACCTGCTTACTTCTCCCTTCAATTTTGTCATTGTTCACTTCATACACATTTGAGGCTCTGTGGTGTGATGTGTCTGTTGTGCCTCCTTGATAAGTTGATCCTTTATCAACATATAATATTTTTGTTTGCGTCTTGTTGCAGTTTTTTGACTTAAAGTCAATTTTGTTTAATATTAATATAGCCGCCCTGTCTTTTGCTTACTATTTGCATGGAATATCTTTCTCCATCTTTTTCTTATCAGTTTAATAGTGTCTTAGATCTAAATATCTCGTGCACAGCACATCATGAGATCATTTAACATTGTTTATTGAACCAATTTCTGTCTTTTGATTGGAAAATGTAATCTGTTTATAGTTGAAGTGCCATGAGGAAGAATTTACTTGAGCCATTTTGCCTTTTGTATTTCTTATATTGTCTTTGTTTCTAATTTCTTTCATTACTGCTGTCTTTGATGTCCAGTTGATTTTTGTAGTGTAATATTTTGATAATTTTCTCATTCCTGTTGTTCATACCTTTTTCTTTAAAATATATTTTTTAAATTTATTCTTAGAGAGAGGGGAAGGGAGGGAGAAAGGGAGAGAAACGTGGATTGGTTGGCTCACGCGCCCCCTACTGGGGACCAGCTGCAGTCCAGGCCTGTGCCTTGACCAGAATCACCAGAGACCTTTTGCTTTTCAGCACAATGCCACAGGAGCCAGTGTGTATTTTCAGTTATTTTCTTAGTGGTTAATTAGAGTTTGTAGCAATTACAAATAACATCCTGAATTTAAAACAATATAGTTTCAGTCGATAGAAACTTACCCACTGAGCTTCAATAGAATATAAAAACTGCTCCTCTGCAGCCCTGTCTCTTTAAGTTTGCTGTTACCACAAACTACTTTATACATTGTGTGCCCATTAATATAGGTTTTATTTTATGTGTTTGCCTTTTAAATCAACTGGGTTGGAAAAAGATGAGTTACAAAACCAAAAAAAAAAGTATACTAGCTTTAATGTTTACCTATGTAGTTACTCTTTCTGGAGTTCTGTATTTTCTCAAATGGCTTCAAGTTCCTATCTAGTTTCCTTTTATTTCAACCTGAAGGAGGTCCTTTTGAATTTCTTCCAGGACACTTAGCAGCAGACTCCCTCAGGGCTTTGCTGTGACAATAAACAAAGAAAAGCAAGAATTATCCTGACCTGAGGAAATGAAGAAAGTGATACCCAAACCCGTTAATTATTTAGAGAAATAGGGAGGCAGGGTCTGGCCAAAGACTTAACTGTTCCTTTTGATACAGGGAACTCTGATCAGATCACCTGGGAGAAGCAGGGAGGGGCCATAAGAAGAGGTTGGCTGAGGAAATAGTAAACAGTCTAGAATGTGATTGGCTGAGAAGTTAAACTCCTCCGGATCGCATGGAATTATGGGCTAGAAGATTTGAAATAAAAGAAGGGCTCTTGGGCTTCCATGCTGGCTATTTCTTGCTCTCTTAACTTGGAGGGTGCCTGCATTTCCCAACGGATGGTATTTTAGAATGGAAGGCACTTGGAGTACAGCCTAGGATCGGTTGGCCGGGCAGAGGATAGCAGGGTTATTCTTCTCTACCTGTTCTAGAGGGGATGAAATCTGAGGCAGAAGCCTGCTATACTTCCAAAATTATGTAGCTTTTGTATCTTATGTTGTTTTAGGTTGTGAACTAACCCTATAGAAATAAAATAATTAAAAACAAACAAGGGGAATGCCAGGAGAACTAAGGTATTAGATTTCACCTTAACTGATAGGCTTAAATGATTAAAGCTGTAACTAAAGAGTGTAGCCTTAATTGATAGGCTTAAGCGACTATCAATTAACCCTATCACAGTAGAAAGCTGTTACTCCAAAATTGTGAAGTGTTAAAATAAAGACTCCTTCCCTTTATCAGCAAACCTTTGCCTCTGGAATTTTGCTTAGAGGGTGACAGCAGGCAGCAAGACCCCTTTTGCAGTTCTGTAACACTTTGCCTCTGAAATTTAATACTTGGAGTCGCCAGGTGAAGTTCATGGAATTGAGCTCTAAGACAGCAGAGCATTTACACTATGTGAGAAGGAAATGAAACTACTTGAGTGAAAGGAGAGGCAAGAAGAAGCAGGAAAGTCATGTAAGGTGCAAGTTTTCTTTTGGCAGCTCCCAGATAAAGAACAGAAAACACACATCTCCACTCTTGAGCGCCCAAGAAGGCTGGGATTCCACCCCACACGTGCAGAGCACAGTGGATCAGTACTCCTTTGCCTTAACCACTCAACCCCCTTGTCCCACAGGAACTTGAATTTTTGAATACTCCTTTAAGTGTTACTTTCCACAAAGCCTTGCCCTTTGACCCTGACATGTAGCATTTACTGTTCTCTAAACTGCTGGCATCTCAGAGGATGTTCACAGGGAAGCAGGCCTTTGCACCTTTCTCTGTATCTTGATCTACCTTCTGCAGCTTCAGCTGTCCTTCTTCAGTCCTCACACTTGCCTTCCAGTCAAGGTGAAATTCTTTTCTGGCCACACTCCTGAACTTCATGCTTTGTCACACTCCTTAGGCCTCCCCTCCCCTCCCCAGCCTTCCTTCTCTGCTCATTCCTCAGTTTCGGTTTAAACCCTACAGCTCCCCCCTCCTCCCCTCCTCTCTCCTCCTCTTCCCCCTCCCCCTCTTCCTCCTTCCACCCCTTTTTACGGAGGTTTTGCAGTTCAAAAATTTTCAAGGATATGTTTTCTCCCAAAAGCATATTTTTATATTCCATACCTGCCATGGTATTATATCCTAATAGCATGTATTTTATGCTCAAAACCCGATCGAGCCACTATGCACAACAAAGTACTTTTGTACAGTGAAATCTATTTTTTAGGTATTTCTAGTAACTGTACATCTGTTTAAGTGTTTTTCTTCTGAACTTGAATTACCTTTGCATTTAGTAGTAGCATACAATAAAAAAATATATAAATAAATTTGATGTTATTATATATGTAAAGTATAACTGCATTGGAACTGTGTCTTTTAGTGAAAGGGCTGGGAATATTTTGCCCACCACTTCATGTGTCCCCAGATAAAAACTTCTTATGGCTGGAATAATTTGGTGGATATTATTCCAAACCACAAGTTTGTGGTTTTGAACAAGTGTGGGGCTTACACATGCTGCTCTGAAAATTATTTAAGGTGCATTGTTTAAAGTAGACTCTTCAACTCATTTCCACTGATGATCTAAATTTAATAAACGGTAGCAGTAAATGAAACCAATAGCAAGCAGGGAACTTGGAATCACGTAAAAACACAGGTTTACAAAATATGGGTACACATTAATATTATTATTATTTTTTTTGGCATATGAGTTGATGCTCCAACCAATTGAGCCACCTAGTCAGGGAAAATATGTGTACGTGTTATTTTTGACACAATAATAATTTTCTTATGAGTCTGAATAAGTGTAAGAAAAGTAAATCATTGTTTCCTTGACATATAATGTTCCTTTTCATTAAAAGTGAAATGTTGTTAGATGAGGAATTTGTCATCCCCTCGGGCATGAAATCATGTCTTGTGAAGCCCTGTGTCTTGTTTACAGGGAGACACCAGTATTTCCAACTGTCTTCTTGTCAAAAGAGTATTTCTAGCCCTGGGGTAATCTGCCACAGTCAGATGCTGTACCAAATTTAACAAAGGTGGAGAGGCACAAGGTCAGGCAGGCGCGCCTGGGAAGCATTGCGCTGAGGTCTCCCCTTCCCCCACCGTCCTTTAGTACTTTTTTGCTATTACCATTTATCCGCCTTACACCACCCCCCACCTCTGAGATCTTTCTAACGCTGGAGCTGGTTTTTCCTGCCCACAAGTTTCTTTCATCTGGCCTCTGTCCAAAACTAAAGGTCCCAGCAGTAACCGGGGCGACATTGCTTCCCGTTCTGCACACGAGGGTCCTGGCTGCCGGCCCCACGAGGACCTGCGGGCGGGCGGGCCGAGGGGCGGCGCGCCCGCTGCAGACTGCGCACCCTGGCTGGTGAGGAGAGTGAAGGGAAAGTGGAGACACTACAGTCAAGCCAACAAGATTATTTGAATCGGAGTAGGCTGCAACGTGCAGAATCATTATCTTCCTTTAATTAACCTGAGGGCTTAAACTTTTGAGCTCTTCAGTTGTGCGTCCTTGCCCCGATGTATATAAATCCAGTGGATGATCAATTTACGAAACAATAGTCCCTCGTCCAGGCCACCGGACGTCCGGTGGCTACCAATCCGGAGGCTACGAATGCAGGACTGATGCTTCTCAATAAGGTGCTTTTTCCTATAAAAACGCTCAACTTTTCTTTTTTGGGGGGACAGTTCGCGTACTTCCTGGTAGTGTTTCCAGAATTGTAGTTCGCTTAAGACCCCCGAATAAAACTTTGCCACTTAATTCTAAAGAAGCCCCTTCCGAATTTGTTTTACACTCCGGGTATCCGGGCTGCGCGCAGGGCCCGGGAGAGACGCCTGTCAATCAGCCACTGTCTCCGCCCCCTGACCCCGGGACGCCACTGCGCACTCGGATCGTACGCCCCGCCCCGCCCCTGCCCCGCCCCCCGCGGGTTCTCGGAGCCCGAGGCTGCGCCCCCTACGGTCTCGGGGCCCGCAGTCTTCTCCGCCTCCGCCACTGTTTCCGGGGGGTACTCCTTTCCGTAAATCCCATCCCCACTTTTCTCGGTCCACGACCGTCACACCAGGTGTCCTCTCGCTTACCCGCCGGCCGCCTGTCTCCTAGTTTTACCGGTTTTCTCTAGAGACTTCCGGTCCTAGCTCCGGGCTTCTCTGCTGCACGTCCTTCTGAGACTTCTCCCGGCCCCGCCCCCAAGAGACAAACCATACAGAAATGATGTGGCAAAATAGCACCGGAAGGTCCCACCGAGATTTGAACTCGGATCGCTGGATTCAGAGTCCAGAGTGCTAACCATTACACCATGGGATCCGCGGGTTGGTGTGTTTCCTTACACTGTTTGATGACATAGTTCTTCCTTCCAACCCCCTGACGGTTTTAAAGGTATGAAATCCGTCTGCTTTTCCTCCTCTAGAAATAAGCGGTAGACGGTCACCTGCCCCATGCCTGCCAACACCTGTTACAGCAGAGTCTTCATGGAAAAGACACGTAGGTAGAGGAAGCGCCCTGAACGGGCCCACCTTTCGTGGCGCTTCTTCACATGGCCATCAGGGCTGCTGGTTAAATCCGAGTTTTCAGAGACAAGGAAAAAGAACATTTTAAGGACTCCTTTTTACCTTGTCTCTCTTGTTGATTTGAAAAAGCAGGTTAGTTGCTATTTGGAAAGATAATTTAAAATCAAACTTTAAAAAAAGTTGCCAGTTAGCTTTTCCACTTTTTTTGTGTTTTTTTTTTCCATTAGGCAGAGTTCTCACTTCTGAGCCCTCTGCCCTGCGCAGCTGCAGCTTTCTGTGCTCAGCCGCTGCTCCTGGAGGGAAGAGAACGATCCAGTGTGTCTGGGGAAATGTCAAATTTATAGGCACTAAACTGGGTCATCAGTGAATTAAAGGATAGCAAGAGCGATGGATTTGAAACCTCTTAGGACATTGTACATTATATGTTATTCTCTGCTTTGTACCGGTTAAGTATCAAGAAAATAAACACACCTATGGCCAGTATGGCAATCAAACTTACAATCTTGAGTTTTTAAAACCCTGTCCTAACCAACTGAACTAACTGGTTTTTGACTTAATAAAAGTTTTTTTTTTATGTTAAGTTCAAAATAGTAACATTGCTGTTACTTATACAGCAATGATTTCTGATGCTTCATTTCAAATGTCGTGTGTAAGAGTTCCTGTCATGCTAAGCACTGCCATGGAATTGCACTGATGGTGCAATTGCACATGCACCCGACTATGGATCGGAAGATTGCAGGGTTAACTTCTGGGCGTACTGACTTTCTTTCATTAATCTTTATGTGCATTTTGTTTAGATTATTGCGAAATGCTCCCTCGGATTGTTGCTGCTACCCCATGACACAATCTTGGCTGTTGCTTACCTTGCAATGAGTCTTCAAAGTCATCAAAGCAACATCCATAATCTAAGATTTTATTTTTTTGAATCTCATACTGCTAATGATGGGGAGGTCACATAGAGAGCTATAGAACATTCGAAATCAAAGAGGCTTTAAAGGACAAGAAGCAAAAAAGGAAAGAAAGTGTGGGTCTAAGAGCATTATATTTTTCTCATTGGGCCACGACCCCATCCAGACATGCAAACAATGTAAGTGTCCACCCATAGATAAGTGGGAAAATGAAGATGTGGTATATTCCACATATCCGTGTGGTAGGAAATATTATTCAGCTCCGAGAAAGAAGGAAATCCTGCAAATTGTGACAACACTGGTGAACCTTGAGGGCATTATGTTAAGTGGGATAAGTCAGCTAGAGAAAGACAAATGCCAAGTATAATCTCTGTTATATCTAGAATCAAACAACAACAAAACCAAGCTCACAGGTACAGACACAGATTGGTGGTTGTCGGAGGCAGAGAGTGGGGTGGTGGAAGAAATGGGTGAAGGGAGTGAAAAATAAAAAATTAATTATAAATAAATATCATGGCATGCTTACACTATGCCTGCCACTATCATGTGCCCTAGCGTGTCCTTGGGCCTGGACTCAGAATCATCACGACAGAGGCATGTCTCATTGGTGACTCTAAGGCAAACAGTACTGCTCTTCATTATATGATTTTCTAAGTAAAATAAAACCAAAGCCAGTTGTCCCTCAACCTATCGATTTTGTATCCCTTAAATCTATGTAAAGTGTTTGTGTTTATATGTAAAGAGAGTTTAGTTTTAGGTTTGGGAAAATAAAGCATTTTAACTTACATGAAAGTCCAGAAGGACATTTAAAAGTCAAGTGGATATAAAGGACACATGGACAACAACTAAGGGGGGTGGAAATGGGAGGGAGGTGGGGAGCACGGGGGGTGGGCTGGGATGGGAGTAAAAGACAGAAAACTGTACTCGAACAATAATTAAATTAAAAAAGAAAAAATTTTCCTGTAAAAAATAAAATAAAAGAATAAAAATGTTTCACCATAAAAATAAACAAATAAAATAAAAAATGAAAAAAAAAAGTCAAGTGGAACTCAGGACAGTTGGCGGGCTGTCTGGCTTATTGCAGGATATAGCACCTGTGGACTCAGTTACCAAATGCCATTCATGATGACGACCAAAAATTCCCACACATTTTCATGACATCTCTAGAGAGCAGGCCGGTACTATTTAGAACTGGTGCTCTCTTACAAGTTCTAGAAATAACTTACAATGAAAATGGGAGAAATGAAATGCTTTATAGTGAGTGAGTATTGGATAAAATTGCTATCTTGGAAACTTCATAAAAATAGTTGAAGAGGGTTCTTTCAGGTTGAACATTTTTTAAAGTCTAGAAATAGGTAGATAGGAAAAGATTTTTGGAGAACCAGTTGGTTGTAAAATAATAGAATGAATATATCCTACTCACATATCATATAGAATAAATATACTCTTCAATAATGAAGAATTATAATGATTTTTTAAAAACCAACCTTAACTACAGCTCTTAGCTAAAAACATGTAACCAAATCTTTGCAGGAAGTGTCCAAGTTGAACGGTAAAAAAAATCTCTCAGAAAGCTCTGTCCTCCCCTTATTCTTCTCCAGAAAAACCCACAGCAAAAACAGAGCTTCCCAAACGTTTGTGATCAGAGGAGGACTCCAGGGCTTGGAGATGCAGCTTCTCCGAGTGCTTCATCTCAAAACAGAGATAACACCCACCTGGCAGGACCATGGTAAGAGTTCACATGTTTGTTAAATTAATATCTGCTGTGTGTACTAGGGTTTCATTGGGGAACAAAACTGGGCACTACATCTGCCCTCTTATAAGTTATACTCTAGTGAAGAAGACAGAGGACTCAAGTCACCATGCAAACCAGCAAAAATTTGCAATGAAAAAGGTACACAGTGCTAAGAGAAATGTGAAGATTTATTTAGAAAGTTTTGGAGAAGTTCTTTCACTAGATTTTTGGAAAAGCAAAGATGAGAAGATGCTAACCAGGTGCAGACACACCGATAGTCATGATGGTGAAGTGTGTCCACCATGGGGTTGCTCCCATTTTTCGCCTGCACTCAAGCAAATAGAAATAGTGTATCCTATGGAAATAAAAAAATCTGTGAACAAAATGCACATCACCACCTCAAGGTACTGAGAAAGCCCTCTCTTGACTACCCGCCTACTCTCCCGCAAATCAAGGGTGCGCTGTCCATGGTCCTGACTCAGGAATGCGTCGGGCTCCAGACCTACAAGTAGCCCACAGTCACCACCTGCTGGGCGCGCTCCTGGAGGTGAGTTGGGTGCCGGTCCCTGGAAATGTGCAAGAAGAACCGCTGGCTGTCACAACACCCTGCCTGCGAGACCCAGGCACCAGGTGCTCCGTGTGTCTGTTCCACAGACGTGTCTCGATCCCACACCCAAGTAAACCCACCCACAGCGCATTGCAATCCCACCGGGACTGTTCTGGGCTAAGTGAATCTAAACGTGGAACCCACTGACGCGGAGCTTTTCGGTGCCCAGATGACGATTTATGTCCGCTAGTGGCTGCAGCACCCAGAAAGCCTCAGCCAGGTGACAGGGTCAAGCTCGGGTGAGGCGCAGGTCCGAGAAGCTCTGGTTTTCAGAGGCAAGTCTGGCTCAGGTCCTTGCACCAGCGAAGCCCCGATGTGGAGTCGAGGTTCGGCTTCTTAGGTGCCTGCACCTGGAAATCCTCTGCCTGGTGATGGGGGTCGTCTCAGGTCCTTCCTTCCTTCCTTTTTTCTCTGTCTTCTACTTATTGTCTATCTATCTGTCACCTAGCTGTCTATGTATTATCTATCTCCTATCAATATAATCAATCTGATACATCCCTCAGCATTCGTATTATCTATCCATCTGTTATCTATCATCCATCTATCAATCTATCATTTATCTGTGAATCATCTGTCATCATCTGTCTGTCACGTATTCATCAGCCACTCATCCACCTACCTATAACTGAGGCCTGGCACACCTCAGCTCCTCACCGGTCACTTGGTTGTCTTTCATGAAGGGCTTCTTTAAGCCATTTGCCCACAGACCCAAAGCAAAAGCGCCACAATAAAACCTATTGAAGAACAATCAGAAAATGCTTCATGCCTCAGAGATAAGCAAACACTTCATAGACAGGACATAACAAGGACTAAGTGTAAGAGAAAGATTGGTGTTCTGGACCTCATAAAAACTGAACACCTTTTCCATCAAAAGGATCCACTGAGAGAGAGAAACACCAGCCATAGGCCGGGAGAAGATACTCGTAATACACACGTTGTGAAAGGTCATGGATCCAGATGACATAGAGAACTAAAGTGCGATGGCAAGAGGCAACGGTCTAATTTCCAAATGTGCGGTGATTTGAGTTCTTATTCCCAGAAAACTTTTGCAGGTCGTCCCGGGACTGACAACGCAAATAAGGACGTGGGAAACCTCCAGCCAGAGCCCCAGGAGGCTCAGACATTTAGGAGAAACACAGATAAAAAAGCCCTGGGCGACCACGGTGCCCACCCGGTTTCGGGCCTTCGGCGGTCGGGCGAACGCGACAGCCGCTACGCTGCAGAAACAGCACCTGTCACTGAGGCGCTTTCACAAGGGACAACAGAATTACCCACGCGTTTCGTGGATGCCCCCGAAGCTGATAGTTTTGGATGATCTTTCCTTTAATATATTTTCATTCACGGTGCATTTCTTTCTTCACATATTTATTTGTTAAAATAAAAACATAGAAACGTCATGACTTCTCATCAAAGGTCGCTCAAAACCAGTTTAAATTCCTTCTCCAACACCAGGCAGGGTCGCCCGGGGTTCCTGAGGACTGACTTTCAAGGAATTGCCCGATGTTACCCGTGGCTCTGATCTCCGTCTTCCTCCCTGATTCCAGGGAGCTCTGGGGACCTCCAACGTCCTCCAGGGCGGTGCCCGGTTCACCCTCAGGGGGTGACAAACGGGGTACGTGTGCGGACTCGAGGAGCCAACCTACCATGGGGGTCCCTCAGGCCGCCCTGGAGCGCCTGTGTGCGGTGACTGCCGCCCGTCTGCTCCCCGGGTGACGCGCTCGCCCCTTCTTCCTTTTTTCCCTTTATTAACGATGCTCGTCGCTGTCTCCTGTCCCTTCGCAGCGTTTCCCCCCAGGATCTAGAAGGTGCCCAGCAGCGAAATGCTCTCCCCTCAGATCCGCGGTGACACCTTCGTGACAGGACAGCGCTGGGTCTGCGTGTGACAAACACGCATTGAAAACTCTGCTGTTAGAGACTGAAACTTGGATTGGTCCGTGTTGCAGAAAACAGAGAAGAGAGACAGAGTTTCCCCATTCTCAAGGTCTGGAGTCTTTTCCTTTCCTTTTTTTTTTTTTTTTTTTTGACATCAAGTTGGCAGCATAAATGACAATTTTTTAATTATTATTTTCAGCAATTTGATTAGATTTTCACTTAAAAGAAATTAATGAGTCCTAGACTCTGAAAGTACCAGCTGTCCTGAAAATTTGGACAGGCCTGAGGTAGCAAAGGTCAGGTGTGATGCAGAGGGATCTGACCAATTCCCTGGGAGGGGGTTGCCCAGGCAACGGTAAACAGCCTGTGACGGGATTGGCCGAGAGACTGAATGCGCATGGAATTATGGGCCATAAGACCTGAAATACAAGGAGAGCACTGGGTTGCAGGCTCTCTCAGTCCTGTTCTCACTGCTTCCTCAAGGGTTCCTGCATGATGGTGTGGCAGCTGCCCTCGCTTCCTAACAAAAGGTAGTTTGGATTGAATTTGGAAGTATTTTGGGTGGATTTTGGATGAATTTTGAATGGGATAAGGAACTCTGGTCGCAGCCTAGGTTGGGCTAGCCTGGCAGAAGGTGGGAGTGTTATTCTCCTCTGGGTGTTCTAGAGGAGAGGAGCTGTGAGGCAGAGGCGTGGCGTTCTTCCAAAATTGTGTAGCTTTTGTATCTTATGTTGTTTTAGTTTGTAAACTAATCCTATAGAAAAAAGGTAATTAAAAACTAACAGGGGAATGATAGAACTCAGGTGTTAAAGAGTTTGGCCTTAATTGATAGAATTGAGTGACTAATGCATGTGGAAAACTCTTATTCCAAAATTATGTAATTTTTTAGTAAAGTCTCCTTTTCTTTATCAACAAAGCTTTGTCTGGCCTGTGGAATTTTCCTTAGAGGGTGGCAGCAGGCAGCAGGATGCCAACTGTGCTTTGGTAACACGTACACTGATTATTATAGTAAAAATTGACTAAATAAGTTATTTTATGTTTGCTTGTTCTTGACATTCATATAAATCAAAATATATAGTATATACTGTTTTGTGTGCAGTTTCTTTGGCTCAAGATAATGGCTTCGAGATTAATCAAATTTTGCATTTACCAGTGGTTCATTATTTTTACTGGTAAGTAAAATTCTATTTTTATAAATGTAGCATGATTTGTTTTTACATTTATTGCTAACAGACACTTCCATTGCTTTTAGTTGTAGGCTATAGTGAATAAACCTGGTACAAATATTTCTGTACACATCTTTTCATTGACACATAACTTTATTTTTTTTTAGGATAATGTCTAGAAGAGGAAATGCTGAGTTACAGGTGAGGGGTGTCTGTGTGTAGGAATCATAGTAACAGCTTTTATAATTTTACATTCCCACTCACCATGATGGGATATTCTACATCCTTGCCATTCAAACTTTTAGGAGTTTTTGTTTCATTTTGTTGTAACTCAATTGGGTGAAAGTAGTAGTTCATTGTGGCTTTTTAAAAATTATATTTGATTGATTATGCTATTACAGTTGTCCTGATTTTTCCCCCTTTGACTCCTCCACCCAGAGCCCCTTATTTTCTCAGGCAATTCCCCCACCATTGTTCATGTCAATGGGTCATGTGTATAAGTTCTTTGGTTACTCCATTTCCTATACTGTACTTTACATTCCTGTGGTTATTCTGTAACTACCTATTTGAACGTTTTAATCCCCTCACCTCTTCACCCATTCTCCCCTGCCCCTCTCTCTCCCCATCTGGCAACCTTCCAGTAACTAACTTCTTTTTTCTATCTTTTAAGAGTCTCTCTTAATCTTTAACCTTTGGCCTTTTAATACTGATGTGTCTTGGAGTACGCCCCTTTACATCCATCATAATTGGGAATCTCTGCACTTCTTTGACTTGCATGTCTATTTCCTTCACCAAATTAGGGAAGTTTTCTTTCATTACATTTCCAGATAGATTTCCAATTTCTTGCTTTTTCTCTTCTCCTTCTGGCCCCCCATATGAGGTGATTGTTGGACCTCTTAAAGTTGTCCTAGAGGCTGTTTGTGCTATCCTCATTTTTTTTGGATTCTTTATCCCTTATGTTGTTCTGTGTGCTTGTGTTTTGCTTTCTTATGTTCCAAATCATTGATTTGATTCTTGGCTTCATCCATTCTACTGTTGTTCACCTGTAAATTGTTCATTTCACTTAATGTAGCCTTTGTTTCTGACTGGGTCTTTTTTTATACTGTTGAGGTCCTCACTAAGTTCCTTGGGCACCCATATAAATAGCATTTTGAACTATGCATCTGATAGATTGCTTATCTCCATTTTGTTTAGATCTGTTTGTGGAGTTTTGATCTATTCTTTCATTTGGGCCATGTTTCTTTTTCTTCTCATTTTGGAGCCTTCCTGTGTCTGTTTCTATGTATTAGGTAGAGCTGCCGTGACTCCCTGTCTTGCTAGTGTGGCCTTAAGTAGTAGGTGTCCTATAGGTTCCAGGGGCACAGCATTCCTTATGACCCAGGCTTGGAACTCAAGGGGAATCCTTTGTGTGGGCTGAGTACACCCACCTTTTGTAGTTGAATCTTTGTTGCTGTCCAGGCCAGTCAGCTGCAGGGACTGGCTATGAACACTGACCACCAACCTCCACCATCTGTGGAGGATCAGCTGTGCAGGGGCAGGGTGGTGGTTCTCTGACGTGGTCTGTAGGTGTCCGCTGGGTGTATTGGCCCTTGGGGTTTCCCAGGTGATACAAACCAAGGTCAGCCTCACCTGTGTTTTGCCTGGGGCACCCTGCCTGAGATGTAAAGCAATCTGAGATGGCTGCTACTTGTGCTGGGCTTGGAGATTCCCAGATGAAGCCAAGCCGTGATGCTAATTTGGTTGCCACAAGGGTTCACTGAAGCCATCTGTTGATTTTTTATAGGATTTAGGAGCCAAGACCAGCCATTCTTATGAAAAAGCAGCTTGGATGGGCCCATTAATTGAGTGGGGTAGAGCTCCTGTGGATCTCTGGGTCACACAGTGTTAGCCAGGTTGATGGAGTCTCAGATATGGTACCAGCCTACCGGTTCTGTGGGGAGAGGGCTCAGCCAAGGGAGAATGTCCTGTGCCCATCCCAATGCCAAACACTTCAGTCTCCCCCTGTATATCACTGGTTCACCTCAAGCTGCCACCCTAGTGCTGGAGCTCAAGGGGAGCAAGTCTGAGTAGGTGAGTCCGTGTGTGGGTTCCCCAAGAGGAACTGTTAAGGGCTGCAGCAGCCTCTTCCACCAACCCAATCCTTCTGTGTTTTGCAGCCAGAATTTGTGGGGACTTTTCTTCCTGGCATTACAATCCTGGGCTGACAGGTCTGGTGTGGGTCTGTGACTCCTCACTCCTGAGATATCCCTCCTCAGTTTTTATCCAGGCAGGTGTGGGGCCAGCCCATTCTGTGTCTGCACCCCTCCTACCAGTCTGGATGGATGTTGTTGTTTCTTCAATTCTGTAGTTGTCAGACTTCCATTCCACTTGGTTTTTGGTGTTCTGGAGTAATAGCTGATCTATATTTTAGTTGTAATTTTGATGTGGTTGTATGAGGAGGTGAGCCATGTCTGCCTATGTCACCATCTTGACTGGAAGCCTCATTGTGGTTTTAATTCACCTTTCTCTATCGGCTAAATATGTTGGGCATTTTTTTCATATGATTATTGGCCATACATGTGCTTTTTACGTTGAAGTACTTATGCAAGTGCTTTGCCCATTCATTACTCACTTACCTTCTAAAAAAAACTATTCATTGCTGACTTTATCGGGAAGGGACAGATGTTCTTGTCCCTTCCCTGGGCCCATCTGCTCACCTCCACCCAGCCTTCACCCCAGCTTCCTTCTGGTCATCATCACATGGTTGTCTGTGTCTGTGGGTGTCTTTTTATTGTTTTCTGGCAGTTCTTTAAATAATCTGGACCAAGCCTGCCATCAGATGTATGTATTACACATGTTTCCCCTCAGTCTTTTGCTTGTCTTTCCATTTCCTAGTGATGTCTTGTAATGAGCAGGCTTTTTGATAATGTTCAATTTGTCACTTTTAATGTATTTTATGCTATTTTTCCCTAAGAAATATTTGTCTACTGCTAGGTCATAAAGAAGTTTTCTATTTTTTTTTCTTGATTTAGATCTATGATCCATTTTATCTCAGTTTTGGGGTTTGGTGCGAGATGGATGGGAGGGTAAGTTCTGAGGGTAAGTTCCAAGCGCTGAAGTTCTGAGAATGCTTGACAAGAGAAGGCAGCCCACACCAAACACACACCCATCAGATATTAAGTGGAAAAGAAGTTTGCAAAGGACGTCTAGAGAAAATGCACCCAGCAAGCAAGAGGGAGATCAAGGATAAGTCCAGAGTTGAGGTTAGACCTCATCCTTTCATTTCTCAGCAGGCACCAAGGACCCACAGTGTGTCCGACTACAGTGGACGTGGTGAATGGAGGCACTGAGACTCAGCTTTAAAATAAAAAATAGTTGCTCCTCAGGGTTTGGAGTCATGAAAAGCAGAGAATGACTTCCTCACAGGAGAACGGGTATCAGGGCTTCTCTCACCAGCTCCGTGATCCTGACTTGCCGATCCGTGGGCCCTGCTTCCCAGCTCTCTGCCTTGTGACCTGTTGGCTGCTGGCCCTGGTGGCCCAACTGAGCCAGGCGAAGAGGACCCTTGGGATAGGCCCATCCTCGCAGAACCCTGGGGTATCCCCATCTGGAAGGTTTCACCAGAGCCCTAAATCCCCAGGGTGAGAAGCTGGAAGAGTCAGAGAGTGACATTTGATTTTGGGAAAAGTTGGTGAGTGACACATTTAGAAGACAGACTAAAAGAGAGACAGACAGAGAAGGACACATGTTACGTGATGGGAAGAGCAATAGAGGCAGTGAGGATGAGTATAAGACAGGAACAGAGGGAGCCTCAGAAGACAGGAAGATTTAAAAGGCAGTGAAGGAGCACAGGGAACGTCTGAGGGAGGGAAGGAGAGGCAGAGGTAGAGAAAGGAGGTGACACAGAGACCAAAATGAGAACTAGAAACTGAGCAATGGAGACAACCAAGGGCAGAGCAGGAGAGAGAGGAGGGCAGCAGAGAAACTTTGAGAGAGGCGCAGAGAGAAATAAACAGTGAAACAGACTAAGACACAGAGAGAAATGGAGGTGTTTGGACAACAGGAGGAGACTGAGACAAATAAAGACTAAGGAAGAGGGGCACAGTGGGAGAAGGGTGAGAGCAGACAGGGCAGAGCCTGGGGTCCAGGGAGAGACTGCACAAGGCAGCCAGCCAGGGGGCTGAGCAGAATTTGAGCCAGTTACTAGAGGGAGGGCACCAGCACATAGAGTGACACTTCCCTGACATTGGACTTTAAAATACCAACATTCACAATGAGAATAACCATCCACTTGTATTTACAGAATGCTGTCTGAAATAGAGCAGGTTTAGCTGGGAGTGAGGATGGTTGCAGACACAAGTCAGTTATATGCAGAACAGGGGCTGAAACCCAATTCCTGGGAATTTCCTCTTTCTAAACCAGCTGCCTTCTTCTGTCCAGTGAACAAATATGTCCTAGCCCGAGAGGGCCATGCAAGGAGTGGTGAGGGTGTGGGGCTCAGAGCCCAACCCTAAGAGGGCTCCGTTTGGCCAGCCTGAGCCAGGTCTGCAGCTGCTGAAGGATGCTCTGTGGAGAGGTGTGGGGAATTTTGGAAGTCAGATCCTAGCACCGGTGAGGGCAGGAACATGCAAATTGTATGCAAATACAAATGCAAATGTAAATCACCCAGAGCTTTCTCTTCCTTACCTGGCGCCCTTGGCGGAGGCTAGGGGTGTCTGAGGGCCTCTCAGGTGCCATGTCCAAGCAGTGAGAGGCACTAGGGATAAGGAGGGCTGACACTGAGTGTCCCAAGGCCTGTGTTACACTGAGCACATGCCAGGGGTCTGCATCCCCTGCCAAAAAAAAAAAAAAGAGAGAGAGAGAGAGAGAATAGTGTGCTGAGTTGGGGCAAGGGGGAGACTTCAGGGTCAGGTTTTGATGGCATGCTCACCATTAACGAACAGCACCTGGGTGGCCCCTGGCATCTGGCCACCGTAGTAGGAGTTGGTCTGGGTCACAGCCTGGACTATGGATGAGGTTGAAAGCCCGAACACCTTCTCACACAGCTCTAGCTGGGAGGGCAGTGCTGGGAGCTGGGAGAAAGGACATCTAGGGCCCTGACAGGTGACATCTGTGGGGGGAAACATCTGTAAGTGTGGGGTATGAACCCAACTCTAGTCCCCTTCAATAATCATCTACAGAGCTCTCCCCAATGAGGGAGGGAACCAGTGAGTTCACAGACCTGCCAGAGACGACCCCACACCCCGGATTTTGATGGCCCAGAATGATGGGGCTGTGATGGGACAGTAAAACGGACAAAACAAAATAACTGCATGTGAAAAATAGGGTATATGCCCTCACTAGAAGCACATATGAAGCATGGAGATGCATCTGGTTGAGGGGAAAGAAAATAGAATGTGTTTTTTGGATAAGGAAGGATATAAAGAACCTTTTTTTGTAAGAAGGATAAAGCAAAGTAACTTTGTCTAAAAGTAAAATGATAAAAAATAAAATATGAAAAAGACAAAAACTGAAAGGTATATATAAGTAGCAGAAGGTTTATGGAAGCTGCAGGAAGTTTGTGGAGGGATCTATAAAAATAATTTTATGTACGGTCAAGCTAACTAAGATTGGGAGGGTAACTAAGTCAGTTGCATCACTTGTGTGTATGTATGTATGTATGTAAACCCTCACCAGGTCTTCAACCATGGCCATTTTAAAGTGTTATCATTAGAGACAGTTACTGTTTTACTCTGATGCTTTGGAAAAAAATGTTCCTATGAATATGTTTCATCTTCAAAGAGACAACTTTAAAAACATAACACTGAGCTGCATAAAGATTTATAGAACTCTAAAAAACAATCATAAAACTACTACCAAAAATATCAAGATCAACAAAAATTAATAACATGGGGCTAAATGAACTGACAAGGATGACTATGATTTTTATATGAAATATTACTAGATTTTGATCTTTGTTTTTCAGATATTAGAATTTTTTTATCCTAAACTATCTATGACCTACAACAATTCGGTAAGTTATAACCTTGCAAACAGAATTAAAACAATTTAATTCTTCCTACCTGCTCTGTCTGGAAGTTCAAGTACTCTGTAAATAATCCTCATGTAACCATATTTAAAGATGTTAATTCTTAGAGTCATGTTTCCAATTTAAAGAAAGTTTCTTGCACCTAACTGGACTGTTCGAACAGAGGGTTTAAACTTATGATTACCAGGAAATGAAGCAGGCAACACCTGCTGTGGACAACTCACCCAAGATTCTAGGCCTGGCCTGTGAGAACTATACCTTCCTAAAATACGGGGATCAAGCATTTACTATAATAGTTATTGCTTCCTTTTCCCTCTGATTTCTGACTGGAAAGATAACTCAACATGGGATGTCATTTTTAAACCTATTTTCCAGGTCAAAACATGCAGCTGCTGATCACACACATAGTCAAGACTGTTCAACACCTGGCAATATCAGCTCTAGGAAAGGTACCAGAATTTTCTCTTGGGCAGGTATTGCAGGGACTGCCACAGTAATAGCCAACCAGGAAAAATCCTTCAATTTCCTTACATGAGTTGTATTAGACAATAACATTGCTCTTAACCATATCCTAGCTGAACAACATTGGGTTTGCTCTATTGTAAATACCTCCTGTTGCACTTGGTCTGGCAAAACAGAGATAGAACTAGATACAATCTGAGCACAAGCGCAATGATTAGATATGGTTCCCACTGACACCACCTGGTCCTTCTATATCTTCAGCTGACTGCCCTCAGGTATTGATCCTGGTCTAGAATTATTCTTCAAATGGGACTTAACATTTTGTTTGTTATTATAGAAAATTTTGCTGTTACAAGTCTTTGTGTTTTACACAGCTTGATGTTATAAAGGCGCCACTCTGGCAATACTCTTGATGATGATTGCTCGATGTTTTGAAATGATCACCAAAGTCTATACAATTTTCATGTAGAAAACCTCCAGAAACTACAGAAGATGCTTCTATGCCCTTAAAGAAACATAACGGTAAAGCCTTCCTCTGTTCTGGTCTCTCGTTGCTCAGATGTGGGCTCAGACTCCTAAAAAACCACTTTCCCCCTACATGGGACATGACATACCATGAATGAGCCTTCCTGGTGACAAGAGACTGACAATGACATAATATACACAAAATGAGCCTCTTGACAATTAAGAACCAATGATGAGTTACTAACTGATCCATGCTGCTTTCCAATAATTGATCAGCAATGTTTTTGAGGAAAGATCTTGATGAAAAAGAAAAAATGTGCCCCAGCTAGATGATTCAGCTGGTTGGAGCGTTGTCCTACACACCAAAAGATTGCAGGTTCAAGCCTGGGTCAGGATGCATATGGGAGGCAACCAGTCAATGTTTCTCTCTCTCCTTTCCTCTCACTAAAGTCAATCAATAAGTTATATATATATATATATATATATATATATATATATATATATATATATAATTATATATATATATATCCTTGAGGATTTGAAAAGAGAAGCATAAAAATATAATAATATAAACGGCCTCTTTAAAATGGAGTCAGAGCATCCATGACAGAGGAACTGCCTTGCATGTGTTATACCTCAAACCTTTGGGTATTAAAACAGGAGAAAATAACCTTTGGCCTGGGCCTAAAGCAACATTGTACCCAAAAGAATTGTTTGCAAAGATAACAAGAATGCAGATAGTATGACTACCAGACTGATGGCTATTGGACTGAAAAACATTCTTTATAATGTTAATTCACTGTGTTAGCTTATCTGCACCAATAGTAATAAATGCCTTCCTTCTCTTGATGTAATTTTTCCCTTCCCTTTCTCACCAATACCTATTGTCTCCGTCTGTTAATTGGAAAACTATTTAGGTTTCTGCATGAATGCTTGTCATTCAGGTATTCTTATTGATCTCAAATAAATGCTTGTTGCCTATCCCCCATCACTTCAATAGGCATTTTGCGGGGGGGGGGGGGTATCAGAGGTGAGATACTCACAGAAGCCAAACTCAGTACATGTCTGGTACAACCACTGCCGGTCACCCACGCCGGACACTTGGGGTTCCGTGACCCTCAGCTGGGCCAATGTCTCTGCTCGAGAAAAGCTTAAACACCTCTGGCCCAGGCTGTGTAGGACAACCTACAAGTCAAAGGTCAGATGTCAGAAGAAGAGTTCCCGAGTTGTCCTGGGAGTCTGTGATCAGAGGGGTAGGGGCCTGGGTCCCTGTGTATCGGAGGTTAAGATGGTAGATGACTGGGATTTTATTACCTGTGAGACCTTAGGCAAGTGACACACGAGGAAAGTAAGTCTCAGACAGGTTCACAGCTGCTCAAGATTGCACAGTGGAGGTGGAGCAGCGGCCCTGGTGGGCAGACCCTCTCGCAGTGCTTAGGGCGGCTCACCTGCACGGCCCGACGCAGCCCGCGGTACGGCGCCTGGTGGCTGCCATTGCCCTTGCCCTCGAGGAGGAATCCACAGAGCTGTCGCACGCTCAGCGGCGCCCCCGTCTGCCCGTCATACTGCACTGCACCTCCCACCAAAGCCTGTAGAGCCTCCAGCAGTTCCTCCCGGTCCTCCGAGCGGCCCAGGGAAGCGCAGGCTCCCAGCTCCGCCCTCAGCGCCTTCCGTGTCGCCCCTCCCACACGCAGTCGGCGCCCCACCTCCGAGAAGGCGGTGGACACCGCCGCGAGGCACTGCGGGGAGAAGAGTCAGTGTCGGCGGAGACCTGGGCCTGTGCCCCACGTGTCTCTCGCAGGGTCATCCTAAACTCTGGACTTGCCCGCGCCCGACCCTCCCTCGGAACTCTGTGGTCTGAGAGCCCGCACCAAACCCCACCTCCTGGGGGCGCGGGGAATCGTCCCTCAAACCCCGCCCCACACTGAGCCTCGCCTGCTGATAGGGTCGTCTCTATCAGGGCCCCGCCCCCTCGCTCCGCCCAGTTGAAGCCCCTCCCCTCGGGTGACCGCACTCCTGCTCAGCCCCAGCGTTCGGCTGCGACCAGTGCCTCTCTCCGGGTTCCCACCTCCCCAGACCCCGCTTCCTTCTCTGGAGGCCGCGCCCCTTCTCTGGACCCAACTTGAGGGCCTCCTCCCTCCCCTCCCCCTCCCCCTCCCCCTCGGGCCGGGCCGCTCCTACTTCCGGGGACCCGCCGATCGCAGTGCTCCTGAGGCTCCGGGACACCACCTGTGGTCGCACCGCGGGAGGAGAGGCGCCTCAGGGACCTGGCCGCCGAGACCCCGCTCCGCCCGCGCCCGCCCGCGCCCGCACCTCGTTGTACGCGGAGAAATCCAGCACGGCCCGCACCGGGGCCGAGGAGGCGACCGCGGCGAAGAGGAGATGCGGGAACTGGGGAGGAGAAGTGGTCAGGCGGGCTGAGGGCCCCGGGCGAGCCCCGCCCGCCGTGCCGGACCCGCGGGAAGACCGCTCTGGAAAGCGCGTCTCGGGGGAGGGTGCGGCGAGAGGGTGTTCCTTTCACCCGAGCGGGACCCCGAGCCCACCCCACCCCCGTGTCCGCCCAGGGGAGTCCCGGGACCTTCAGCCGCGCCCAGGCGGCCAGGGAGCCGGCGTAGGAGCCTCCGAAGCAGACCCAGGGGCTGGAGGCGGAGACGTTGAGGAGGCGGGAGAGCGCGAGGCGGGCGGAGACCACGTCGGCCAGCCTGGGTGGAGGGGAGGCCGGTCGGTCATCTCCGGAGTCCCCGAGGATTCCCCGCTCTGCAGGCGAGGGTGGGGCGGGGGGTCTGCCCAGAAGCCAGGGCTGCTTTCTCCTGGGGTACTTCGGAGGACTTCACCCACGCATCCATTTCCGACAGTGGCTGGGCCCGGGGACACCCCATTTTTCCTTCCAGATTGGGGGGAGAGGGAAAAAATCTCAAAGCAGGGTAGGCGGAAACCCAACAAATACAGGAGGGCGGGGACAGTCAAGGAGGGTTCCTCCGGAAGAGAAGGGACCCTGAGCTGGAGAGGTTAGAGTACTGGGGGGAGGGAGAGGCAGGAAAAGATGTCGGGACATGTGTAACATCTTCTTTTCTGTCCTGCGCGTTCTTTCCTCCCCAACCTTTCTGAAACGGTTTGCACTTACAATTAAAAAAGTAAACCGATATACTTTGTGAAAAGATTGGGGACAGGGAATAACATAGAGGCGAAGAGATGCAGAGATGGAGACGAGCGTGAGACAAAAGGACAAAGGGGTTCGACAGAGACAGGAGCAGGAGACAGACAGGTGTGGGGAGAACAATGGAGCAGGTGAGAGGAGAGCAGTGGGGTTGTTAATAGGAGTAGGACGCCCTAAGGAGGCGAGGCGGGGAGTCAGGCAATATATGGGGGAGCCCACTCCTTGCAGAAGCGAGGGTTTAGAGGCTCAAGGCAGCAATGCGCCCGAATGTCTGGAGTGCAGCGGGAGCCCAGGGAGAAAGCGGAGGTCAGACAGTTAACTGAGCCAGCGCCAGGAAGCCCAGTGGCCACTGTAAAGATTTGACTTTACTGTGAGATAAGAGATGGGGGGAGTTGAAGTAGGGAGAGTGGTGGTCTGTTTTGTGCTCTACTGATCACTCTGGCTTCATCTGGAGAGCAGATTGCAGGGGTCAAGGGAAGAAATGGAGACCAGTGAGGAGGCTATGCCTTCCAGGTCAGAGACCTGGTGGTCTGAACCAGTAGCCACAGTGTGACAGTATGAGAGAAGAATACAGTGTAGGAGAAAGAAAGAGGTAGGCAGGGACAGAGACCCAGAGATGGAGAGAGAAAGAATAAGACACCGAAACACAGGAGAAAGCATGAGCCAAAGACTCAAGGTGAGCTTCGAGCATTAGAGGGCAGACACAAGACATCCCCAGGCTCACGGCCCCAAACACTTACGCATGGCGGCTGGACAAGAATCGGAGTTGGGTCATGCTCAGGCCCCCAGCAGGTATACTCAGACCATAAAATCTGTGTTCCAGGCCTATCACCAGGGCCCCCAAGGCTGGGGCCAGGGCTGCAGGGTGCCCTGTGAAGAGTATGGAAGGGGGTCCGTGATGGGTGCAAGCCCTTGCAGCCCTCAGTTGTTGAGGAACTGCAGTATGCAGCTGCCCCGCCTGGCCTCCACCAGCTTCCTAGCCATGTCCTTCCCACCCTAGCCCCTTACCTCTTATCACTGAGCCCGGCCCAAGGCTGCCCTCGCCCCCAAGATGCAGGAATATGGGTCCATTCTGGCTGGCCCAGTGCTGGTCGTTAACCCAGTACCGCTAGGAGGTGGGACGAGGAAGAAGAAACAGAACTATGAGTGTTCTAACCTATTCTTTCCTGTTAGTCCCAGTCTCTCACTTACTGGGGCTTGCTTTATATACTTAGTAGTATCTGAAACAGGCTTATTTATTTATGTGTTCACTTCCATCCTGTTTGACTCCTCATCTACAATGCAAGATCTACAAGAGCAGATGTTTTTGTCAACTTTTTCTCTCTTATAGGCCCAGGGTCAAGGATAGTGGCAAGCACATGGTAGGAACCTGTCATATATTGCAATAATAATTGTAGGATAAGTAACAAGTGCAGGTGGATTAAGGAATAGCACCTAGGTGAGATGACCTTTGGAGACTGTACAGAGTAGATGTGAAAATGGGAAGTTTGTCCACTTATTCAGTGAATATCTTGGAGTGCCTCTTGTGAGCCACGGCTGGTTCCAAGTCTCTGCTGCACCTGGTGCTGGGTTTAATGTTTAATCTGAAGGACAGGGGGAAGAGGGGCTGAAGGGCAGTAAAGAGAGAGAGAGAGAGAATGGGAATTGAAGGACAGGACTGGAGGGACAAAAAAAGGAGCAGATTGAGGAAAGAATTGGGGAAATGGGGGCATCAGGCACATCTAAGACACAGGTGGCTGGACTAAAGCCATAAGGGATACTGATGGCAACACCGGGCGAGACTGAGGAGCAGAGGGTGGGGAGACACGTGTGGAGACCGGAAGAGCAGAGGCTGAGGGGCAGAGTGGAGAGGAAAGGAGAGGGCAGTGGACTCCCCTCCCCTGGCCTCACCTGTAAGAAGGATCGCCTGTCCGATGCGTTGAAGGGGTCCAGTGGCTGCTCCAGCCACCCCTCTTTAGGGACGGTCGTGGTCCCCGGGTCCAGGCTTAGGCTCAGGACAGAGCTCTCCTGAACTCGCCGAACGTGTGCACCGAGGCGCCGGAGAAGAGAAGCTGTGGGGTGCGGAGGGGACGGAGTCATGCTGGGCCACCTTAGGACTCCCTACCTGATCATCGAGCTCCTCCTACCTGGAGCTGAGGACCCCCAGAGGGAAACCAGGAGCAGAAGGCCCAGCCACAGGGCAGGGCCCACGGCCATGCTGTCCAGTGCTCCGCGAGAGGGCCCTAGGGGTTGTCATCATGTCCCCAGGGTTGGCCTTTGATTTATAGCCTTTCCTCGGGAACGTGTGGGTGTGGGTGTGGTTTTCGTTTCCTTTTCCTTTCAGACGCTTGTCCCAGGACAGGTCAAGCGTCTGTAGGAACCACCAACGCGGGGCGGGGACGCCAGAGTCTGTGGCTAAAGGACTGATGATGTGGCACCTGGATATCCAATTTCTTCTCTCTTCTGCTGATTTTCTCCTCGTCTTGTCCCATGACCTCTCTTCCTCCGTCCCTCAGTCTCCCGTCAACAGTCCCCTCCCCCACTCCTCAGTCATCGTTAAAATGGGCTAAACGAGAAAGTCTCCTTTGAAAAGATGTTCTTAGTTCTGAACACGCAGGAATGTCAGCGAACTTTCTGTTCCCTTAAGTTAACAGAAAACCGGGCAGCTGGTCGGTTAGCTCAGTCGGTTAGGAGTCTGGTGGTGAAAATGCTGAGATCACGGGTTTGGTACGAGGGCTTCTCTCTTTAGGTATTTAACTTTGCTGCACCTACTTCACGCGTGGAAAATAGCCTCTCCTATGTAAAATGGGGTTTAAATGTTGACTTCATTTCTTAATCCTCAGCAGTGACACCTGCCTTTTTTGTCCATCTTCAAAGAAAGAACACCCCCCCCCAAACCCAACTTGTGATAAAAGTGGCATAAAGCCTTCAAATAGAAGTTGTAGTAAAGAGAATGAGGGTGAGAGAGTAGCGGTGGCCCCGGAGGTGACGTGTGTGTCTGGTGGCCACTGTTCAGGTGAGCGCCACGGTTTCCTTGCGTCCTTTAGCTCCTCACCTCCTTGGTTTCCTTCTCCTCTGCACTGTTGAAATCGAAACTTCTCGTTGTTAAAAGAATCACGGTCAGACACAATGCATATTTTCCTTTTCTTCCTTTCTTAAAAAAAAATTAAATGATCGGTAGGCCTCCACCAGAATTTCTGTACTCGGGGACAGATTTTTTTCTTCCTCTGGATCTTCAGCACCAAGGACAGTTCTGAACAAACGGGACATTCGGTAAATATAGTTTTGTAGAGCAAGTCAGTGTGTTTTCAAAAGTTGGAATTATGTGAATCTGATTAACACACCTATATAAAAGAACCAAAGACTACAAAATTCACCATTTATGACAAAATGATGTGCTTGTAAAGGCCACATTACCGTATAGAATATACAAGAATTTCAGAAGTGAAAAATTCTGGAATCCAGGACTCTCATGGACTGAGTGGCTGACAGAACCTGGCTATTTGGGAAAGGTGATGTTGTTTGGCACTCAAAAGCTGTTTATTGAACTGAATCCATCTCTCCCTGTCTGTCTTTCAGGAGGCTGGGGTTGAAAGTGATTGATTGTGTTCCAAACATATGTTCACAAGACGATTATCGATGATAGATGGACTTGTTTTAAGATCAGTTCTGGTGGCTATTATGGTTACAGAACAATCCATCTTTTCCTAAGTGTGTGATTAGTTTATGTTCGCAGCTTTTTACTTTGGCCTAAAAACAAAGCCCTCCCTCCCTCCCTCCCTCCCTCCCTCCCTCCCTCCCTCCCTCCCTCCCTCCCTTCCTTCCTTCCTTCCTTCCTTCCTTCCTTCCTTCCTTCCTTCCTTCCTTCCTTCCTTCCTTCCTTCCTTCCTTCCTGTTTCTCTCAATATCCAAGTAATGTATATCAAAAACACCAACTTTATCTCAGAGCTCAACTTTCAGTTCAGCGATGGGATGAAAAGCAGAGATGAGTTTAAGGAGAGGGTGAGGATGGGCCAGGATCACAGCACGGATGATGGAGGAGTTGGGAATACGTCACTGGAATAGAGGGAGTGCATGAATGGGTAATAAAAAGACCATTTTTATTTTGACCTTTGTGCATCAGTTCGGATGGAAATAATTTGTTACGTGCGGTGGGCCCTAAGTGATGTGGATTAGGCTGTATGTAAATGAACAGCGGAAATTTCAGACGTGGTGGAAACAGGCCTCTAGGGTTCCAGGTAGAAAATTCCTGGAACAAAAAGTGTGAAAAGGACACCAAGCGAGCTGTTTCCGCCCGGTTTCGAACCGGGGACCTTTCGCGTGTTAGGCGAACGTGATAACCACTACACTACGGAAACAGACCTGCGAGGGGGCCTTCTGCTTTTCAATATAAGTTACAATGAACTTTGAACGCGGTCCTGGCTCTGCGGCGTCTGAGCCCAGCATTCGGCAAGCGCTGCTACCGATGCCCCCAGAGACCAGCCGAGCACCAGGCTGGGGAGCTCAGGCGCCCGGGAAATTGCACTGGAAGAAATGTCGCGGTATGTTCTGCGCTCATTCCTCTGATCCCCCGCCTCTCAGTGACTGTAATTACCCTTAGGGAACTGGGCCGGCTGGCAGGGGACGGAGGCGGAAGGCTGGCCGCGGGGAGGAGCCGGACGAGTCACACTTTTCTGTCCCGTTCTCTGTTTCTGTTGTCACTGCTCTGGGACGTGTGCACCCGTGTCCTATGTGCCGGGATGTCCCGCAGCTGGAAGATGACCTCCGTGGTTCACCCCATTTCCACTGTCCCGAGTCACCGTCCTTCCCGGGACTGAAGCTGCCCGCCTTCCACTGGTTTCCAACTCCCCACCCCCACCCCCCACACAGAAGGCGCTGGGTAGTGTCTTGTCCACAAACTCGCCGGAGAAAAGGGGTCCCCAAGCTGATCGAAATGATGTTTGTACACAGAGACTGAGTTACAATAAAGTTGCTGCCTGGAATGACAGCTAGGAAAGTCACAGGGATTTCTCACAGAATAGCGGCGTCCTCTCGGGGCTTAATGGTCGGGAAATACTCGGCGAGGGAAGCAACGTGACTTAAACGGGAGGAGGTGGAAGGGCCGAAGAATGGAGAGCAGATTCCTGCACCGGGCGAACCCGGACCAGACCCACTGTGTGGGTCTGTGTGAACCGGAGCTCGCATTTCTTCCTTTTTCTCGTGGAAATTCGTCCCACCGACAGTAAGTAAAATGACAATGTAGGGTGTACAGGACTCAGGGAGACCCTCCACAGTAGGAATTTAGATTTAACGTGAATGTAATGGGCAGCGAAGAGTCGACTGTTCCAAGACAAACATGATAATTTTCATTTAAATGAGTATTTTGAAAGAAGTCTACAGAGATCACCCACATGTACTTTTACTACTGGGGATTAGTCCTCATCTTTCCTTGCTGAGCACGCCCGCCCTCATGGGCAAAGGGCCCAACAAGCTCTCCTGCCCCAGGCTCCCAGGCCTCAGCCTTTGTGGAGAGTGGGCACCGCTGAAAAGCCGCCTTTCCAGGGCAGGTTGGGCTCACTTTCTTTTGACCACATTGCGGGCTGGAGTTGGGGGCGGGTGCAGGGCACCGAATATTTTCCTCTCCTTAGGGGTCAAATGACCTGACAAGTTTATTATTCATAATCTTGCAGAAACTAGCAAATCTAATTACTGCTAACTTGGTAACGTTTAAGAAGTGGGCCTAGCTCCGCCACCGGGATGGCCGAGTGGTTAAGGCGTTGGACTTAAGATCCAATGGATGTATGTCCGCGTGGGTTCGAACCCCACTCCCGGTAGGTCCCCTTCAAAAGGTATTTTACCTGAAAATAATTACTTGGACAAACCTAAAACGTAATCCAGTTTATCATTTAGACTACTGATTTAGGTTGTCCAATCTAACTGTTTGAAATTGTTGGCTTGGGGTAACTTACATACAACGTAATTGCACATTTGTGTTGAAATCTATTTTAGTTGTTTTCTGTTTGCTCTTTGTTTTTTAAGTCTTTCTCTCTTTGAAATATATGAGCATTTTGCATGATTAGATTTCATCTCAACTATTTGTCTTTTACAACAATCTTTAGTGCATTCCCTGGGATTCTCTATACACAGCTACAATTACTCAGTCTGCTTTCAAATAATACCACGCTGTTCCTGCGCAGCGTGAACTCCCTCCCTCCTATATTGTTTTATTGTTGTCATACATTTTGCTTTCGTGTGTACACCGTTACTGTACAGCATGTTTCTGCTACTTTTGCTTTATGCAGTCAATTATTCTTAGTATGATTAAAATTGGGAAGCTTTCTTATGTGCACCTACATTGTAACCATTTCTGTAGATATTACTTCCTTTGTATCTCTCTGGGCTCATATTTCTTCTTCCTAAAGAACTTCTTATAATATGTCCTATTTACAGATCTGCTAGGAATATACTCTTCAGGGTTTGTTTGTGTGTTTTTTTGTCTGAAAATATCTTTTTTCCTTCACTTTTGGAAAATGTTTTTTGTTTGGTAAAGACTTGGAGGTTAAAAGTTTGGTTTTGTTTTAACTTTGTCCCTCAGCACTTTAAAATGTCATTCCATTGTCTTCTGGCATACCTAACTTCTGATGAGAAGTCTTCTGTCCTTTTTATCTTTTTTTTTTTTCCAGCTATACATAGTGTGTATTGTGTCTTTGGGTGCCTTCAATATTACCGCTCTCTCTTTTTTTTTGGGGGGGGTGGTCAGCAGTTTAAATATGATGTAAATAGGGTTTTTTCTTCTCTGCTATATGTATTGCTTGTGGTTCTCTGATCTATTTGAAGCTGTGGTTTGATGTATTTCATTACCTTGTGAAATTTATCATTGGATCTTCAAATATTTTTTCTGCTCTTTTATTCACCTTCTGGGAATCCAATTATAAATATATTAGGGCATTCGATATTAATCCATAACTCTTTAATGCTATTTTTATTTTTCAGCTTTTTTTTTCCTTGGCATTTCATCTTGGGTTGCATCTAATCATCTACTTTCAAGTTCATCACTTCTTTCCTCAGTTCTGTGGAGTCTACTAGCATATTAAAGAAGTTCTTTGCTTTGACAGATGTGGCTCAGGTGGTCGGGCATCGTCCTGCAAAAGGAAAGCCCCCTAGTACCTGGTCAGGGCACAAGGCTGGGTTCTTGTTGGCACCCATATGAAACCCTCTCTCATCCTCCTTCCTTCTCC